CTAAGACACTTTGGGGACACATACCATACTAGGAATTGTTTATATTTGTTTACATAGACTCGCCCATAGTGCAGAGTTCACAAGTCTTACATGCTTCGTGCATTGACTTTGAACTCTCAGGTACAGTACTTTACTTATTTACACAATAATATCAAGTGCATTGACTTTGAACTCTCAGTTCTTCTAACAATGAATGTGCATATCCTACATCATGCTGATATTGCCCATGTATGGGGCGATACCAGCCAGGGATTGTCAAGTCGCATTTGCTAAAGATTTGATCCTCCCAAGGAACAAAAATAGTGTCAAAAAAGTAGTTTGTGTGAGTGGATGGCCAAGCCTCCCTTATGATGACAGTGTTTTCGGCATTGACACATAGATGGCCTGGGAGTGTTGAATGCATGTAGACCTTGAAGCCCTTGCTTTTCAACTGCGCAGCTAAAAAAGATGTTTTTGACACTAAAAATCATTGTTAGATTTAACAAAATGATAAGAGATATTTACTTGCAAGGCACGGTGATAAGCCACATCAAGAGGTCATGCGCTAATACCATCCCATCGTTTTGCATACTTGACACTGGCTTTTCAAATACTCCTACTCTACATCGAATGTGGGCACAGTCAAATATTTTGAGTCTTGCCTCATGAGTAACAGCATCCACAATTGCATCCAATAATGACTCCCAGTGAGTCATCAATATCGGGTTGTCTGTAAATTCTACATCCAGGAGGTGGTATGCATGGATAGAGTTGATTTCATCTTGAATGAACTGGTTGATAGTCTGGTGTGCAATCTCACTGGAAGAAGGAACTGGTTGTGACAGCCCAGAGCTTGAGGTAAACCTGCTCTTGATATCCGCTACCTTGTCGAGCCATGCAGATTAATGGAATGACCCCCTCAAGGGTGCCACAACTTTTGTGGGTGAGATGTGTCAAGCCTTGATGGCGCAAAGATTTGCCAAAGCCTGGACATTGTCTTCATCGGCTGAGAATAATGCAGGTGTCGCTTCTGCCCAGTCCTCTTCATGATATCGGGAGTGCAGGTGTGAAACAAATTTGGCTTCAATTTGAGAAAAGTTCATCTCCGAGGTGAAGTACTCCTCTAGGATGTCTCATGCTGCTTTGTCTTGCAGAGGGTCCGATGATACTGCTGTGTAACCATGCTCAGAAGCGTGGTCATTTATGAAGGAGCAGTCCTCTACACAGGAAGATGAGACTCTCCTGGAAATGGAGACAAGGTACAACGACTTACCATCTTCTTCATCCCATGTATCTTTGTTTTTCCCTCCCTCTGGATCAATGTCTGCCTCTGTATCAATGTACTTTCTTGCATCAACATATTTGGTGTGCTTGATGTGCGATTCTGGAGTGTTTTGGCATTGGAATGTATCTTAATTGTGAGTTTGGTTGTAAAAGCTATCAAACACTATTGTGGTCCGAACTACATATAATATGTAGTCCAGGGAGAAATCAGAAAGAACACTCCTTGCACTCGACAAGGCTATTTGTAGTAAATCCCATTTTGTGGTCATTCTCAGTGAATAATAACAAACACCATAATGGCATGGACTATTGTCAGACAATGAATAGTAAACTTGGTAGACCACCTCATTCAGCCTAATTTAATGTGAGAGAATCTTACAGCTTTTACAGATATTAATACAGTAATACAAAACTACACACTATAAGTCTATACATGTAGGACTGTGATAGGGGAAAAGAAAACAAAGAAACAGGGATTCACTGCCTAAGTAGTGAATTTGAGTCAGTCAAAGCTCCAATGGAATTTGCCAACAGCCACTCAACCACTCAGCCATTTTGGGTATCTCCGGCAGAGTCCAACTCTCCCATTCACTACTTGAAACTCCAAGCCTTACTTTATAGACTTTCTTTTTCCATCATCTTGTCAAGTAGTCTTTAGTATAGTTTTAATATAATATAATAACATACATAGTCTTGATCTCAATGCTATTGTAGTCCCTGCTCAGTGAAAACAACAAGTCTGTCATTACAAATTTGTATTCACCCCCAACGACAAATATTGTGAGTCCAAATGCAACTACTCTGACAATTTGAAACTAATTATTATGCATCATCATCCTGCCAGCAATTAATGTGCACCTGATCAGTGTTGCACACTGCTACTCAAATATACAATATATATGATCCCTTATTGATCATGGCAGTAAGCTCATTTACCCCCATTCAAGTTTGTCATTGTTACGACTGGGATAGTTCTGCTGTTGCCGGTCAAGATAGACCTGTCGGGCGAACAGTTCGTCGGCCTTCCTAATACAAGGAAGGTTTCTGGTGGTTCCTACTGCACGAGCCGCGGCTTCTATGCAGGATCAGCGGCGAGTGGTTTTAGCACTTCTGCCTAGGCGGTGAGTGGTTTTAGCACTTCTACCGCAATCAAAGGTTTCAGGCTAAGACAGTGAGTGACTGCCTTAGAATCAGAGTTAAGGCTACTAAGGGTGGAGACCTTAGTAGATCAGGTTTCAAGGGGAAAACCCAGTAGATTAAGTTAAGGAATACATCGGTGGTACAGAGGGTTTATATAGGTAAAAGGAAGCGGCGTAGCCGCGACAAGAAAGGTAACAGAGATAGGAAAAGAGTACAACCTATCAAGATAGGTGAAACCGCCATGCGGCGCGAGATAGTATCTATGTTACAATCAGAAAGAAGAGAAGTGCGGACAGCCCGCTTGATAAGAGAATAGCCGAGTCTAGATGAGTCTAGAGTCGGCGGCATGGTTACAAGAAAAAGAAAAAGAAAAATGTAATAGGAGTAAATGTTATTGTAACAGTCATGTCATGACTGGACCGCTCTAGGCCTATTCGACACATGCTTGCTCATCAGTCCTCATCAGCTCATCAGTCAGTTCAAGGTTGTCTCTTTTGTTCAAATTTTTGTTATCTCAAAGCGCTAATGCTAAATACATAGGGGTGAAAAGCCTTTGTATGCTATTGAATTGAGTGAACCTCTCACTATGTAGGGGTACATACACAAATTGAATAATGCCCCACTGAGTGACACACCTAGCGGGGCACTCACATGACTCATGCACATTTTAAAAATCATTGTCAGAATGTAACTTTAGACATATGTATGTACATATTCGTAATTTTTCCACCCTTTGCCCACCAAACTCAGCCACACTCTGTCCCCTCAACCGATCAAGAACAGAGTTTTAATTTAATACATATTTGATCATATGGCACACTTACCATTTATATATGAATCTTGTTGTCCCACATAAACCTGTCATTTTCATGATCTGATTATGGATCAACAACAAGGCATATCCACGCCAACAAATTCAGCATGAATCTGAGGTCAAAATTAATTACGGACCTTTTCAGGCTTTGATCACGGATTTTGAAGGAGATTATATTGTATTCCATATTAAGAATTTATCCCTCAATTTGAATGGAATCTGCCACAGACCCTTATTTTGCCGTGTCTCAGGTGACAGAAGGAGCAGGAGCAGATTGAACAGGTTTATTATGGACATGAGGTACCTGTTAGGGTTGTATTCCAGCTGCCATTAGCTCTGCTGGCGCCTGCTCTCTTATCTCTTCTTTGTCCTGTTATTGACAACAATTACATTGATGGTGTCTATGATTATGAGCTGCATTCATTTGCTCATTCAGGTGTGTATTATAATCAACAGGAGGATGCCGATGGGTATGCTGTATGTACGTGATGGCATTCTGTGGCAAGCCAGGATATTGTCCAACTGGTAGTGGTTCATATCGAAAGTGAGTAGGAGGCTGCCATGTAAAAGGTCATGGAATAGGTCCTGCTTTTGGTTCATTAGCTGGCATGAAATTTGGCTGCAGTACAGGAGGCGGAGGCCTATCATGGGCAGCATGGCAACGATTGCGCCTGGTAGCAGATATCATTTAGAGTCAATCAAGTCTATCACATTCACATTGGGAGTGACAATCACACTCTAATGTTATATGTTCTTAGTTTCTAAATTTCATGTGCAGACATTAGCATCATGCACTTTGCACATAGCATATATGATTGACAACTCATGAAATGGGGATATTTCCATCCATGTTTAATAGTTAAACAGTTATTTAGCAAGTGCAAAATTTGAGTTGCCTGAGCCCATCAATAAGTCAATTCTATCATTGTTGATAAGAATTGAAACCCACAAAAAGTGTATCACACTTTGTTACACTTGGCTGTGGGGGAGGGCAATTTAATTCGAGAATTCTATACAAAAGCAACAGCCAATTGTGTAATGATTTATGTCACCAAATTGTGTAACCAAAATCTGTTATGCTTTTGCTATTCTCAATGCTCACTCCCTTATAGTAGGAAAAGTGAGTTGTTTGTCCATATTATGGCTGTAATGCAGTAGGTGTGCAGAACACTGTCCTCTATATCACGTTTGGTAGCATTTTTGGACACTGGAATTTTACCTCTTGAAATTCTTAATTACAATATTTTGTTCCCATTGTTAGCAAACTCAAGCAAGAAAACTATGCAAGATTTTCCAAAGTAAGATTAAGCAAGGTAAGCAAAACCATGTGCTTCACACATGGCGACCACATGGCCCTATGCAAAAACCATGTGAGTGACTGTCCCCTCCCACAACCATTATCCCTTGCTTTATAGACTAGCACACACCCGTTGTGCCTTCGGCGCAGGAAGCAAAGTGAGGGAAGTACCGGGTGCTTGCATGGTTTTCACTTGCACCACATAGATACACTTATATATGCTAAATGCCATGTGGTTTTGCTTACCTTGCTTAAACCTTGATTTAGAAACTCGCGTGGCTGTCATCTGCTCTCCAGTGTCCAGTGCCCATTAGGACAGCACACATTTAAAAACATTTATTATTTATGAAATTCAAATCATATAGAAGCAATGAATTTAACTACATATTTAAGAAGAAAAGGCAATTGAGAAATGGGAAATGAGAATGGGAGAATGGAGAAAATTGGAGAACAGAGAACAGGGGAAAATCGGTAAGAAAACAGAAAATGGAAGAAATAAAGGAAGAAAAGGGAGAAAAAAAAACACAGAATATTGGTGGAAGATGGGGAAAAAACGGTGGGAGGAGGGAGGAGGACAGGAGGAACGGGAGGAGGGACAGGGTAGGACGGGAGGAGGACAGGAGGACGGGAGGAGGACAGGAGGACGGGGAGGAGGAGAGCGGACAGGAGACGGGAGGAGGAGGACAGGAGGACGGGAGAGGACAGTTAGGACGGGAGGAGGACAGGAGGAGGGGGAGGACAGGAGGACGGGAGGAGGACAGGATGGACAGGGACGGAGGCGGAGGACAGGAGGACAGGGAGGGAAGGGGAGAAATCAAACACATTCAATTGTACTTTTACTTTTCTTATCTGCACAGAGAATAACAGGAGGACAGGAGGGTTCAATATGTCTAATCTCAAGTAATATTCATGCTCAACTTGATGAATACAATATAATTTATTTCAAAACCTATAATAATGATTATTTAAACACCCAAAGGTAGGATGCAGCCAAAGGCCAGGAAGCTAAAAAAGAGTGCAAAGCACTCTTTTTTGCTTCCTGTGCTGAAGGTACAACGGGTGTGTGCTAGTAGATTACTTTATTTTATCTCTGTCTCTGCGGTTTCCGGTGTCCTGCACCAGAAATGCTGCAAACAGAGTGCTGGCACATGCATGAAGAAAACATAAATCATGTGCCGACTTGCGACTGTCTATGATAGAAGTGATGATGTCATCTGTCCAGGGTGTTATCATGTCACTACTCTGCACTACTCTGCATTAAGGAGGTAGTGAAGTTCAGAACAATTTCTCAGTCTCTTGGCAGCTTGCTCTGCAGTGAGGTCTCTCTGCGGTTCCGCCATAACTTCAAAACTATCAATTATATTAACTTGTGTTGACAAGCCAACAGTTATGGAACTCACCCTGCCAAAAATTTGCGCACGTTAGCACTCCGTAGAAGTGGAGGCTCAAAGTGCACATGCAGATGTGCAATATCGTCTGCATCTTGTACATACGTCCCATCATTATCTCGACGTGGGGGAAGTGGTCGTTGATGAACGCCCATCGCATATGCAAAAGAGCAGGAGAATATGTTGTCGTAGCGCTTCGTCACGCGTGACATAATGTCTGCAAATGCGTGCTTCTCATCAACCGTGAAATGCACAAGGGACGAAATATGCCGTTTGTGAGGGAGCACTGTTATATTGGGTTCGGAACTAGCATTTGCCACAAGTAACTCGTAACATACCCATGATTTCGAAGGGCCAATACGCCCACCACGGCACAAGCGCAACGAAATGCTCATTTGTAATGACTATGCGTCCGTCGTCTTTTGGAACGGACAGCTCGTGATGCACATACTCACACAATAGGCACGCATGTCCGTCAGGCCCAGTTGGAATGCCAGAGCGCACGTGCGTGGTAGAGGCATATTTGTGCAGAGAAGCGAGTTCCTTAGCGGGGAGGGTAGGTACAGTGGATAGGGACCACACTTGGCTGTGGGGATGCGGGTTGGAGCACCCCATCATTGCTCCCTTGTTCTGTTATATGAAATGAGGACTTGTGTGATGATCTGACCAAAGTCAAATACTTCAAAGATCTGCACATATTTGATGCCAGGCTCAGTCCCTCTCCTCATGTAAACACGAGTCCATTCATCCACGATATTCTCCACGTCCAACAGAGATAAGGTCGGTAAACTGAGATCGTGTCGGGGATGGAAACATACAACATCGCATCCGCCCTGAATTGGCTCGACCGTTAGTAGTGGATGTGCAGCCTGAGATGTGACAGGTCCAGGGGGTGGAAGAACAGCAGCGTAATCATTCTCGAAGACCATGGTGGAAGTGTATATTTCGTTCACCTTACCGCTCGCCCGAGTGTTCCCAGGGCACAAGTAACATGCAGGATCGTACTGGGGGAGATTTGACGGCTGGGAGGGCTCAGTCTGGCCTAGCCAAGGACGTTTGGTGCGATGAGGTGAGACGAGGATGTGTATGTTAGTCAATGGGTTATCTGTAACCGCATCAATGTTGATTGTTTCGCCGAGTCTTACGGCGATCAACGAGAGGACTTACAGCGTCTGTGCGGATGTGTAGTTGGATCAAAGGACTCCATACTGATGCTTAAGAAGCATCAAACTTCGGAGGCACACTTAAACGACGAGCCACGATGACTGGCAGCGATTCAAGGAGACTCAGCAGATCGGCGTGACATAGTAGCTTATGTAAATGTAGGCAGTCAACTCAGTTGAAAGTTTAAGCCAGATTCACGAATACTACTATAGCTATACATTATATTGTAGACACTCCATCATTGTGCCCTCGCTGGCATGGATCATGGATGAATCTGACCTGCATGAACTCTCGAAGCTATACCTGATAAAGATAGTTATCCGGCTTCAAGACGAGATTGTTCCCATGTCAGATCGCACTAACCATGGTCTCCTCCACAGATACTTGGTTTTCTGTGACAGATACAATGACTAGCACCTAAGCTTCTGAAGCCATGGGTATATTGCCATCGACGGTTATAACCTACGAGTCGCTTGGCGCTTGTATATGTGCAATGAAATCCTTAACAGTTGCTCGAGTGATGGAAATTGAGCCTAGTTGATGATATAATGTGTCCATGGCCAAGCAGACTACGTACTTCTACGAAATCAATGCAAGACTTTGGAAAACTAGTTGAATGGCACACTTCTTTCTGCTTCCTGAGAGGCTATCCTCTTTGCCTATGGGGTCGCGAAGAAAGGGCGCGGTGGACTAACGCATACTGTACCGATGGGTCTGGCGATACAGGTGCACATAAGAGAGACGCGGACTGTGTCACAGCGTTTACATGTATCGGAGACCCGTTGAATACCCATGGTTGTCGATTGCGAACACTGTCGTTGAGTGCATGATGAGATTGACGGAACGCGCCCAACACATGAAGGTCATTTTTGAGGCCGATACTACATAGTGCCCCATGCCATCGATGGTGAAGGAAGCCAACAGCAAGAACTCAGATTAAATTACAAAATTTTATTCATAGTTCAGCCGATTTCGTGCTCGGCCAATAACTGCAGAGAATCTAGGTTATGCAATCGAGAGTCTCGAGACAAGCAGTAGCTCACCATGTTCGGGATCCCGTTAGATATGGGGTATATGTGGTTACAATTTTGACAGACCATCGCACCATCAGTAACATTGATCTAGGGGAAAAGTTAGCACAGACTTGAGGAAGTGATCAAGATACTTGGTACCTCCATCAAAACATGATGAAGCTTCTGAAGTAGCTCGTCGTCCATCATGTCTGGCTGTTCTAGAGGAAGCGATGTGTTTCCAACCTCAACAGGCCGTGAGCCACTTGCCCGGGCCTGTTATGCATTTGCACGCACCTGCTTCGCAGCATTTACCAACGCAGTCCACTCCAATCGAGACAGAATATTCCGGATGAAGTCAGGGTTAAATTCTGTTTCTTTTAGTTCAACTTCGACATCCTGAAATACGAGTGGAAAATTATTTGTAGTACATCCTTTGACGTGGCATGCGAGTAAATTGTGGGTGATCAACCGAACCATGGTCGCTGTGAAGAACAGCGACGAAACTGGGTAACACACTTATATAAAATCGTTTCAAGATTTTTTTCTCAAAGTTTCGATCTCAGTCTGTGTCACGAACCAAATCAACAGCTTATACATATACACTTCAATCATCTTCGTCCTTCCATGCGTCCGCCCTCACCATCAATTCCAGAGAAGAAGTTTGTCTATGATGCTCTGAAGCAGTCTCTGCGACTAGACGGTCGTGATATGCTCGATTTCCGAACGCCAACCTTTACTTTTGGCCCTGAATTGGGTTGGGTAGAATGCGCCATGGGCAAAACACGGTGAGCATTCATGAGGATTCGTGCGTGCTGCCAAATACAAGACAGGTGCCAGCGTAATTGCACAATTAGACGCCAAAATGGTCAAACCGCTGCCAGAACGACCCTTTGAAGGTATCATTACAATACACTCTGAAATCTCCCCAATGGCGTCTTCAGATTATGAACCTGGTCGGTAGGTGTGTTATTCAAGTATATTTTATTTTTGCCATAATCAAAAATTCCACCAGGTCTTCAGAAGAAGAGGTCACCCTTACGCGCATGTTGGACAAAGTCCTCCGAAGAAGTGACGCCATTGACAAGGAATCTTTGTGTGTATTGGCAGGTCAACGAGTAGGTCGAGTCTTCCTCCGATGAGTACTTAAGATAAGTGCTGAAACAATTTCAGGTCTGGCAGTTGCGATTGACGGTTCATGTCCTCGCTGATGCTGGTAACATACTTGATTGTTCATGTCTCGCTGGCATCGTAGCTTTGAAGCACTTCAGAAAGCCTGAAGTAGAAGTCATTGGAGACGAAGTCATTGTCGTACGTATTGAGACGGCTTTAATGTCTATATAGTTGACTTTCATCCAACAGCACTCACCATCTGAACGCGCACCCTATCTCGCTTGCAATACATCACACTCCGTTCTGCCTGACGTTCGCATTCTTCCCGGATGCATTAACGCGACCCGTAGTGGACCCATCGTTGCTTGAGCAGAGGCTGAGTTCAGGTTTGATGAGCATAGCGATGAATGCTCAGCGCGAGATATGTGTCCTACACAAAGCAGGGGGGGTTCCGACAGCACCAGAAGAAGTCCTGCGATTAATTAACGTAACATCCATTCTGGTCAAAGATCTGGACAAGCGTGTCGAGGCTAGGCTGCTGGAAGACTGGGAGGGTAGGAAAATTGAAGTAACATAGTTTAAACCTGTTAGCATTTATCAAGGCTGCTTAACTTGTTGCAATACTTGGTGCATAGAATGATTAACGAATTGACAGCTGATTGCAAAATTATGCGGAAACACAAGTTGAACTTGCGTCTCGGAAGTGTCCGAAGTAGGACCTCGAAAGCATTTGAGCGAAGCACAGTAGCATAGATGTTTGTGAGTGAGCCATACTTTCTTGTGATCGTAACGCTTGACTGGTGTGCTTCCTTGATGTTGTCGACAGAATTAAATCCTAACATGAAAGGCAGTCGAACTATGAGGAAGACATTGTGATCGATTCCGCCTTGTGTGGTATATTATATGATGTCGGTCGAGTTCCTCATCGTCCCGAGGACAAATATCTATAACCTGATCATAGCCCTGCAGGGCTATCGCATACTTATACTATCCGTTCGACATATCTTCCCTTGCCACTCCTACGCGAAATCATCAGTTCCAAAGAATTTAGATAAAATGAATGTGAGTATACCGTGCTTCGTTTTCAATGTCTACCAATTTCTGTGCATACATTTCTGCGGCACGTCGGTTGATGTCAGTTGTCTCCTGTGTGTCGGGAAAACCAATGTCCCAGTAGCCAGGTGGTGTCTTGGCACGATACCAATGGTGCCGATGTCGTGATATCTCTGTCTTGTGGTGTTCGATGTCTTCGCGATTTTCCTTGCAGTCTGAGAGGCCGTCAAATGACAACCGGCGCTTCTTAGTAGGCGTCGAGGAGGGTGAGCGCCAAAGCGGCTGCTGGAGAGGCATGGGCAGCGGTCCAACACCTTCGTAGTACTATTTAACACGCATGGAGATTGAGTGACGACGATTTTTCGAAAAATGGGACACGCACACCACGACAACATTCACAATCGTCACCAATCATCTTTTTTCGCCCTTCACGGCTCTTGACCACCTCATCATACTGGAAATCTACGCCGTGATTGCGTTCTTTGCATACAGTGAAGCGTGAATTGATAGTGGTCGCATCACTGATGGTTTGAATCAAGGTGAGTCAGCAAGCATGGTCCTGCATAGACTTACATAGCTTGTGCATATCTCCCGCGTCTCTTGGGAGGATCTCGATGTGAGGCGGTACTCTGCAACACAGATGTGCCTGCATAAAGATTGATGAAGGTTGCTGAAGTATGTGGATTGACAGGAACGCACCAGCTGGTAGTTCTTCATTTCGGACGTCTTTTCCAATTGAGTGCTCATGTATCACGAGCGGGGGTTTGAATAGATTGGTGGAGTGCATCCCAACTTTCGTTGAAACAGTCGTTTCTCTACGCGAAGCGTGGAGCGTTGATGGTATCTCCTGCTGCTTTCCCAGAGTATCAGGAGCTAATGCAACACCAGTTTAGTATACAGACACGTAAAAGCCTGTGTACGTACGCGTCTTGAACGTCTGCTTCTCCTCCTCGTCAAACGCACTCAGGTCCGGACCTATTTCTTCAAATATGCGTCGTTTGTCGGTGTTAGAGACTTTCCGATAGATATCATAGTTGCTATCCTTCAATAATGGATGCACCTCCTTGCCACAATCGGAACTCTCGCAAAGCCACTGCTTGACAATTCGCCACTTTTTGTAGTCGGTCTTGTATCTCTCGGCGGCGCGCTCTTTAGCAGCAAGTAAAGCATCATACCGGTGTTGTAGGTGTGAAAGTTCGGCCTGTAGAGACGATATCTTCAGCAACAACGTAGACGTGTCATGACTGTTTGATGCAGACATTTAATGTAATACTTGGGCGCTTGAACAACGCGATCATAACCATATTACATAATTAAACGACCATGATGGACTTGGTTGCTGTTGTGCAGACGTATATCCACTATAGATAGGTGGCCTTTCCTAGCTATTGTAGTGAGTTGCGATCCAGGTCGCGCAAAGAATTACCTAGAAAACAGCCAGCTGGGAATTACTATTGAATTTTTGTTCATAACTGAAACTATACTAAAATACTAGCTGTACTAACTTCAGCCTGAGGGGATCATATCCGTATGTTGAGTCCCCGGTCATATCTACCGACATCTATCGTCAGGCCTGCCATCATCAAACGGAATCCGAAGCTTTTTACTACTATGCCTGCCGCCAAAGTCATTAGTGAAGAGCCTTTGGACAACAAAGACGCAAAGTGAGAACGTTGTTCGTGCAGGTCAAGTACTAGTATCTCATCCATGTTGCATAGATGGATCCGTCTCAAGAAGATCCACTACACTGATCAAGACGGAAAACACGTATGTTTATTACTTTGGGGGCATGATTACTATCTCGCTCATTCATTGGTAAGAGGCTTTGGGAATCTGCTGAACGCACAACTCGCAAGGATTCTGGAATAGATGGTGAATAAGATTTGCTTCCTCGTTAGTATATGATGACTGCACAAATGCTCGTCCTTTACAGGTGTTGCTGTCCTCGCTGTTCTTCGTTCCAAGACCAAGGCTTTCCCCCTCTCGACGGTCATTATAGAGCAATACCGTCCTCCTCTCGATAAGATCGTGATTGGCATGCTCAGCACTTCCCTATTGTTATCAATCCATTCGCTGACTATTTTTTTTTGTTTCCATCGCAGAGCTCCCTGCTGGTCTCATCGATACAGGCGAAACGGCCGAGGCGGCAGCCATTCGGGAACTGAAGGAGGAGACAGGATACGAAGCCGATATGACTACCGAACCTGAGTCCTCGCCGATCTTAGTCAGTGACCCAGGTCTGTATATTTACTCAAATATGATTAGTGCACATTCAATACATTTGTAGGAATGACCAATTCAAATATGAAACTTGTGGTTGTAAGTGTCCTCCTGGAAGATAAACTCGAAACACCTACCCCATGTCTTGACGATGGTGAACATATCATCACCCGCGTCGTAGAGCTGGACCAACTCGATATCGAACTCAAAAGTGCGTCTCGCTCTTCTATGGAACAAGTTTCTAATCTTGGAAATTTTCAAGCATACGACAAAAAGGTGACACTGATAGAAAAAGTACAGGCCTTTGCTGACCTGACACCTAGGGCTTTGTAGTAGATGCTAGGCTCTCTCACTTCGCAGCTGGTTATGCGATGGCGAAAAGGATTAGTAGTGGCACGTTCCCCTGAGGCAAGTAGTACTTAATCTCCCATGATGGACAGGAAAAAGTAGATTATCGCACGTCCAGCATTCAAACTAGCGACATGTACAACACTGGCTAGTATGTACTAGTGATATGATTTTTTTGCACGTTCGATGTGTGCCCTCAACTTCTGCTGCTTCTCCCTCAACGACGCCTTCTTCTTTCCCCGCACCGCACCGCTACTCAATATCATCATGATCGGCTTATTCCTTGCCTTCTCGCGATTCGTGGAGCTGCTTGGAGACTCTTTGTTTTTCTTACCCTTCAGTGAGCCGTACTTTTCCCGTCCTTCCCGACCCTTTTCGATACTCGCTATGCGTTCCGCATAGTCAGCTTTAGCCTTTTTACGCGGACCAAGGATATCGTGCTCAGATATGAATATGCCATCAGATGGCCCAGGTTGCATGGCCTTCTTATTAGCTTCAAGGGCTGCCAGCTTCCGTTTCGCCCTGGAACCACCACCTGATTCAATGGCTTTTGCGGCAGCCTGTATGCGCAGGTCATTCAATAATGTGAAGTCTGCCGGCGTCAGGATCTACAATACATGTCAGAGTGTCGCACGATGGGCAGAAGGATAAAAGTTCACTTTAGTAGTTGCCAAGGTTGAGATTCGATTAGGGTTTGAATCGGCCTCCGGCTCTGTCTCCCCAGACGGTATAGAAGCTGACTCCCGTTCGTCTTCACTATCACTAACTTCCATGTTGTCACCTTCTGAGTCGACATCTATCCATCCTTCAGACTCGGATTCCAAATCGGAATCGGTTTCGACATCCCAACCCTCCCAAGCCGCTGTTTCATCATCTTCGCCGTCGTTATTGGCACTGCCCATCTCCTCTTCGCGAAGTTTCTGCAGGTGGTCTTCCAGAAGCTGTCGAGTAATTCAGGCATATTCTTTGAAGTTGAAAGAATCCGCATTACCATCAATCCTTCAATGTCGACTGCAACATCCGCGCTGTGTCCAAACGGCAGTGGTTGACTACCTTTCTTCATACCTATACTGGCATCTTTTCCCTACAAAGACACTCAATGTCCGCGATGGCGAATTGAAAGGGAATCGCTTACTCTCTCCCGACGTTTGAGCATTCCAGGGTTCACTTCGCGGTACAACTGCAACAATCCTCTTGCAGCAGATGTAACCGCCTTGTCTCGACTTTTCCTATACTCTACAAGATCACCCAACAGATCTTCCTCGATTGCCCATGGTTGTCTTCTACAAACCTCCCTAATTGAGTTGATTCCTGCAGCAATTACCTCGCTTCCTACTCCAGGATGCACAAATTCTGCTGCAAGCTTCTGCACGACCGGGGTCAAGGCATCTGGCGGCGTGAGATCGTGAACAGACTGTGCCAGCGCAACGAGGATCGACGGGACGCGAAGTTGGTGGTAGGTGAGGTATTTGACAATGTAAGTGTAGAAGCTTAGGACGCAAAGTGTATGAGCCCCCATCACCCGTGAGAGGAGCTGCATAACGAGAATTTTATGTTCAAGTGAAAAACGTTTGTCATATCGACTCAGGTTGTCATATAGCTTCTCAGCAAACGTCTGTGGGTCATTGAGAAGTTGGAGCGCCGGAAAATTCGGTGTCATGGGGGCATTTTTGTTATACTTTCTCTGTTTATACAAATTAGCAAATGAGACGATGCCAGAAAACATTCCTAAATAAACGGGGTACCTTCTTTGCAGCATTGAGCTGTTTCTGAAGTTTTTTATCGTCGCCCCGTCTCTTTTTGTTGACTTCGCGACGGTGGTGAAGAGCTCTGACATCGGGACCCTGAAATAAGCATGAGTGATATTCTGGCAAGGCAGACGTCACCTACCTCATCTTCCTCATTGTCACTGTCCTCCTTTTCGTCGTCACTTCCTAGAAAAAAGTGAATGGAGGCACTTTGTACTTTCATCACAGGATGGAAGCATCCAAGTGCAACGATAGACACAGGTTTGGCGTCAGTCCTGTTGAGGATGGAAGTCAGTTTCATCTAGCTGAATCAGTCACGGATTGCGTACCATATTCCTTTTCGCCACAACTCCTTTGTCAATATTACCGCCCACATAGCGTCCTCCCCATTATTGGCTGTTTTATCACTTGTGGGACCTGCAGATCTGAGCTTTCCCTTGTCCCCAACAACTTCACCATCCATTCCTCGTTCGACCATGGTGAAAAGCATGGCTTGTACAGCACGATTCAGTTTGTGATTTTTGGCTCGGAGGTTGGCAGTACGGATGTCAGATAGAATGGTTTTGCGGATGAAAGCTCGCAAAGTGGAGGAGGTTGTACGAGGGAGGAGGGGAAAGAGGGACCTGAGGAGCCTGGATCGAAAGTTTATTTAGAGGACATCATAATCCATCAAGACACTTACTCGATGGATGTAATGACATCTTTGTTGCGCAACATAACAAGGTTTTGGACGAGAGTTTTTCTGGTATCGGGAGCGAGGGTACCATAGTTTTCGAGGAGAAGGGTAGACAAGTGGGATGGAAAATCTTTGGTTTCCTTGGGATAACATTGTGCGACCTGAGATCGTGACGTCGTCAGTGAAGCAGGTAAATTGTATAAGATCTTTGAGACGCACTTGAGATATAAACGAGACTAGTTCACGGAAATGCTGAGCCTGTTCATCAGGATTTATCTGAAATATCTGTCTGATACTGTTGTAGTGGTTCCATTGCTGTAGGAACTCTTCCTTGTACGCTGCTGGGTCACGTTTGATGAGGTTTTGCAGCTGAGGAAGATTTGAGGTGAGAAGGACGCCACGACCACCCATTACAACAGATAGTTAGATGTTGCAAGTGAACAGCAGTGACTCGGATAATAGACAATCTCCCAGGAGAGCTCGTAACTTACAGGAGCTTGAATATTTGCAGCTTACATCATCTGTAATAGAGCAGAGAACCTAATTCTTTGCGATCAATATGTTATGGTACAACATTATAGTAAGTAAAGCGAAAAAGTAGACTACGATGCCCCATTGAAACTAAAAGCATCACGCAAATCGGAAATCCGAGCTTGAGTTTTGGAACTGTTAATTTGTCACTTTGATGCCAGCGGAAGTTGCACTGTCACTCAACCTCACCTCGAAGCTGTGGTTGATATAGCATTTGAGTAAGCAGTCCAAAAAGACTTGCCAAAAATTGCCGCTTTCTCGCGCGATTTTGGTTCGTCCGAGTTTGTGATGAGCTCTTCAAATGACGCACGATCTATGAAATAGGTTTAATTGTCTATCGTTTGGGCTTTACTCATTTCAGACGCCCACCTTCTATGTCTATAAGTGAGAGGAAATGTATCGTTTCGGTGGCGAGCACATCATTTCCTTGAAGGACATGTTCTTTCGCAAGCTTTGAATGTAAATTCGCCAGTGACTTTGTTTCCACAGAAGCCCCCTCACCTTTTCCCTTACCGCCAGCATTGCTGTGAGACGCGCCTGATTGTGGTCCTGTGGCTCAGCTGTGTTTGTGAGCCCCGTGTCCGCAGTATCTTTGATCGGTTCGAAGTCCGACACAGGTTCAGCTTCGTCGTCTTTGTACAACGGCAGATAGGTCGATGTACTGGGACCAGCCTTCATCTTCCCTTTGGCTCTCGCAGGAGCCTTGGACGAAACTACAGTCTTCGCAGCTGAACGTGATGGTCCAACACCGGGGCCATTATCCCTAAATGTCAGTTCAACGGGGAGGTCGCCACTGAGGCACGCATCTGCTTGCGGACCAAGCTTTAGATTAACCATAACATCAGGCCACCGACGAAACGAAGATTGGGCGTTAATTACCTTTAAGTAATCATTGGTCCAGCCAGACGCAGAGGCCTCTCGTGCGATCGCAAAAATATCAGCACCCAACATCGCACTTATGATGCGGTCTCCGTCTACTCCCTTGCCCACCCCAAACAATGACAATTGGTCATGCCCACTCTCACGAACCTTTGCTCGGTTCCGACCCGCGTATACATCTTTGAAATGACCGAGGGCGATCCTATCCATGGATGCTGCCATCTCTCCGAATAGTCGGATTGCCTGTTGCGCCTCAAGGGTGTAGAGCTGGCGAAAGACTGTTCCACCTCTCGAACAGTTGTCGCAACCTTTGGGACAAAGCTGGGAGTCAAAACGCTCATTGAAATGCGCGAGGATTAATGATCGTCGGCAGTCAGCTTCGTTCCGGCAGTACTGGGCCACCGCTGAAAGATCTTCTAATTGTCGCTTTTTCTCCTCTGGAGTCCGAGCCGGTCCTTTATCGTTTCGGTCGCTATTAATCAACTGATGTCGTGACACGGCGTCCCTGTGTGCATAATCTTGAAGAGCATAACACATCAGGCAGCGCAGGGAAATCGCCATCAAAGTTGCTTACAAAGAATGCAGTCTGCCGGATCGCCGTCACGTCCAGCACGTCCAGTTTCCTGGTAATACCTGAGACAGTAAATAACTTCCCAATTAAGCGCACTTGCAGACTGGTGACGTACCCATCCATCGACTTCGGTAATGTTGAGTGGATTACGAAACGTACTATTTGACGCGGTCAGACAAAGGCCGGAGTGAACAAACACAACTTTACCATCCGGTTTGTCGATTCCCATCCCAAACGCGATCTAAGATAACGTTAGAATTCAATGACGCCACACTGCGAGCACCATACCGTTGCTACAATTATCTTGCAGCTGCCACTTTGCCATTCTTCTTGAGTGGTGCTGCGCTCTTGTGAGTCCATACCGGCATGGTAATGTTTGGCAGATAGGCCATAGTCGTTTCGCAGTTGCTCAGCGAGTTCCTCGCACTCCAACTTCGAGAAGCCGTACACAATGCCAGTATGAGTGGCATGCTGTGACTTGATGAAACCAGCAATGGCTTGGACAACCTTCTTTTTCGTGGACGGTTTAGGCTGTACTGCATAATACAGGTTTGGGCGGTTGAAAGACTGCATCAGGCATAGTGGGTTACGTAAACCTAAGCGAGTACGAATGTCCTGGATCGCGGTCTTGTTTGCAGTTGCGGTGAGTGCCATGATGGGCACATCACGGTACCGCTCGCGAAGCATATGGAGTTCTGCATACTAAGGATACAAACAGGAACTTGTTAATGTGCTCATAGACCAGGATGCGCAAACTTACAGCATCGCGAAAATCCCGCCCCCAGCTCTGAATGACATGCGCCTCATCAATGACAAAGCGCGCGATTTGCTTGTCTTCATACAGTTGTGCGAGAATATCCTGCACAGCGTTGCTCTCACGTAGCTTTTCGGGAGTGATATAGCAAATGTCGGGTTTTTGCAGGCTTCGAAGGCGACGCATGACATCCCGCGAGTCGTCTACAGTTCTCAGGGAAGACATGCAATCAACATTGACGTGCTTCTCTCGCAAAGATGCCACTTGATCGGCGATGAGCGCAACGAGTGGAGATATGACAAATGTGACTCCCTGTGTCCTACCAGTCTTACAGACTGCGGGAAGTTGATAACAAAGACTTTTCCCACCACCAGTGGGCATTAGGACGAAGACGTCCTTTCCATCCAGCGTAGCGTTGATAGCTTCAAGTTGGTTTTGCCTGAAGGAGGTCAGCCCAAATACGCTCTTTAAGACCGAAACCGCCTCGGGATAGTAAGGGGTCGATGTGTTATCAAGACGACCGGTGGACGCAGAGGGAGTGCATGATACATCTGCAGAATCGAGTGTCGGAGTAGTCGAGGTTAAGGTATCCAGTTGCAATGTCGAGGGCTCGTCAAGGCCCTCCCAAAGATCATCGCTGTCAGGCACAATCAAGGTCTCCGCCGATATGTCAGTATCTTCTGGCTCAAGTGGGTCGTCGACATCAATATCTTCTGGTTCGAGGACACTCCTAAAATCAGTGGGCGCAGACGACACAAGAGTAGATGTGGGTGGAGCTAGAGCTGGCTCGCTAATGGGGTTAAAGCGGGCCAGGCGTTCTTGGATAGCTTCGATGCGACCTTCAATGTGAGCCCTATGTAGAATTAGCAAGAAAGTTTATACAGTACTAGTATATTCACAATAAAAATGAGATTTCGAAAATGTCCAACGGCTTGTTGCCATGTTCGGCTATCATCTGGAGAAAATAATCGCGGACCTGACGGTTTCGGGCAAGTATCAGTTCCAAAAACCCTCGCGATCGCTGCAAAATATATATCAGGGTTATAAAGATGTAAGATAAGGGACAACAAACGGAGTCTAGGTCCGAATTCTTGACAAGCTGAGTGCCCACATCAGATTGTGCAGTTTCTGAAGAGGCAGGTAGTGCAGCAAACAGATCAAGACGAGATGGTACATTTGAAGCAGGGTCTGTGTTCGATGCTTCGACATCGCTTGGGATTTCAGGCGTCCATTGTCGAACAATGGCGCGAGATATTGCTTTTGATGACAAAGGATGGGTATTGAAGATGTTTTCCTTATTAACGCGATTACTTTCCTTAAGACGCTTAGAGGCCGATTGTTGAGCTCCGTCAGGGACATCAAGGGGCTGACGCTTTCTGGAAGATACTGGGCCTTCCATGATCTCGATAGTTGGTTCACGACATAAATCGATGAGATCCCGGTCAAGCGGAGCAGACAATGGAGCTGGACGAGCGTTCATCATCTTCCTTCCAAAATTTGGTGTTGCGAACGATGGAAGTGAAGAACTCGAGCCTGACATTTGGCGAGCTGCGAGTTACTTAGATGAATAGCTGCTGTCTTTGTCACGAAATGTATACTTACCATTGGGATTTAATGGAGAGTGAGAAGCGCCCAAGGCTGGCTTAAACTTTGATGATGAAGTCTGACAACAAGATCAGGATGATGGACAAAGTAATGGCCCGCTCGAATTTGTAATGACATACCTTTGGCAATACGCTGCTCGAGATCATGTTTACGTTGTTCTGTGACTGAACGGTCCTCCTAACGCTGTCTAAGTTATTCTGTGTCCCCACCATCTTGATAACAGGGATGAGCAGATAAGAATGACTGGAGGAAGTACTTGATGGCAGGCCAACTTTTAAGTTGTCGGCGTGAGACGAGTGGCTGAAAAAGTCAGTGGGACTGGATTGATTCGGATAATCGATAGCGATACGGAAGATTGCCTCGAGGTCAAGTTGTAACGCGCGCGGGTCACGAATTCGAATAGTCTGGTAGCACTAAGAACGGCTCTTGTCCCATTCATTAATGTAAAGTCTGATGTTCGGCTCATCCCGATCCCCGAAGCGCGTCAGTCACACGTGACCGCGACATATTAGAGTCGCGTTCATCATCATCATCATCATCATCATCGACGACGACGACGACGACACCAACAATCATGTCAGGACAGTACTGGTTTCCAAATATGCCAATACCAGAGATTATGACAGCCCTATCAGAATGGGGCTTGAACGTCAGCAACGAGCAACTCGTCAGGCCCTCCTCTGATTTTGTTACTGGCGTATACAACGCCTGCTTGGAGCAAGTCACGTCCATATCTCCAAACGTGCTTCACAAACCAACCCAACGCGCTCTATCCTCCCTTGATGATGCTAACCCTGTGCGTGCGTCAATTATATGCGTGACTATCTGTATCTGATTGTGCGTACTCAGGATCTTTACAACAACGCTATCTCACACAATATCATGCTCTACCACCTGTATGATTTGCCCTCTCTTTCATATTTTTGTTGACGCAAAAGCGAACAGAACCCGATTCGCTACTTCTGCACGCATTATGGACTTCAGCTCACGAGACCTGTCCGCACCAGAGCCGGAGCGTACACGCTTCATTCTCTCAGCGTTTATTAACTTTGTCAAGTTCGCGGAGCAATGTACCACATTTATTAGCAACGTCAGAGAAAAGTCTGCACAGGTCATAGAAGAGCGCGAACAAGCTATTCAGGAACTCTCAGAAGTTCAGCACAATCTCGCAGTGCTCAAGTGAGATCCTTCATTTAACTCTAGAATCCCCTTAGTTCACGACTTGTAGGGCACAACGTGCAAAGGACGAGCCAAAATGCGAACAACTCAAGGAAGAGAATGCGGCTATGACCACCCAACTCCTTGCAGCAAAAGAGGTTCACACAGGACTCACCAAGGAGATCGAGAGTCTAAAGATTGAGAGGGCGCATCTCCAAGCTCGAAACGAAACTGTCAACTCGGAATCTACTCTCCTAATGGACAACAATTCCCGTACCAGATCACGTATTGTGCAATCTCCAGAGCGTATCAGGCGCAATATCATGACTATGGGGACTACGGCTATTGAAGACAAAAAGACGGTTGCATTGCATGAAGCAAAGGCGCGAGACCTACAGGCCAAAATTTCGACGCTCGTCAATATCGAAAAGGTCTTTCTTCGTTGTGTTCAGTGTGGTCTTGTCTCAATCATCTAGTCAGGATGTACGATCATGTATTGAGCAGCTGCAAACGACAGAGAAGGAAGTGCAGCTCCTCGAAGGATCACAAAAGGAGCTCGCAGAACTCAAAGACAGCCTGGAGTATAAGAAAGTCGAACGCGGCGAGCTGCAGAAGAAAACTGAGGTAGGTCGTGTCATATTTTCTAAATTACACCTGCTAATGCGTGCTCCTCAGCGAGTACACAAGCAACTTGGAAACGCGCAGGAGAAGCTTGAAAGAGCGCAGAGACACGCAGAAGAGAAGCGACAGGCCAGCCAACAGACGGTTGAGCGCCTCCAACGAGATTACGAGAAGATGGACGTTGAACGGCGAGAAAATGACAAGCAGGTGGAGGAACTCCGGATGGAAGCGGGCGGCATAGAAACAAAGGTGGATCTTGGTCCTTGGCCTCCTCACTCTTGCATCCTCATAGTCCTTCGCAGATGACAGAGCATCTGAAGAAGAGTGAAGCAGAACTCAACGAGCTACTCACAGAGTATTGGAAGCTCCGCCACGAGACAGGTAATGTTTTACTGAGTGTTTACATTCATCACTCAATGATATCCAGAGGTATACATGGAGACACTCGCGAACAAACTAAACATGAATGTTTCTTCAGACTGATGAGTGTATCTACCGGGCCTTGAAAGCCTCGTGATATGTAGATCGACTTGGGTTTGTCGTATTTTACCAATTTCATGGTCAGTGGCAATGAGGAATGACGAAATCATCGCTTCTTCCCTTTCTGTGCCATCTTTAGTAGGCAATTCTGGCAATACCATTTCTTGGTTGAAGTGGGGATTGCACTAAGGCCAGTACATGGCAGGTGGAACTGAGAATAAGTGTTAGCAATCGTGAGGGAACACCTGACCGATCCATCCGCTTACCCATTCCAACTTGCAAGATTCACTGTCACAAGCGATCATCTATGATATAAGCTAGGTGAACTTCATCCAAACATAAAGTTGAGTACACGGTACTGACCGTCTCGTACGACACCTGGTTACAATAACAATACCTCGGCTCGTTCGGATCTGCTTGAGCTTGAGCTGGAATCTTTAGCTTCACACTCCTTGTCGTGCGAGTGGCTGGTATTTTCAAAACTTCCTCAGGAAGTGGTGGCGGAGTCTCAGATTCGAGCTCTGGTTTCTTGCGCGCCTTTCTGCCCCTACCGGGTCTCGCAGACTCTGTAGATAGCTCTTCTGTAGATTCTTGAGGAAGAAGGGCGGAAGGTTCCGGAGAGAGTGAGGGTGTGGGGCTACGCTCTACACGGGCCGGGCGTACCCAGCGCGGTACGACAAGGTCAGGAAGAAGTATCGGAGCGAGATGCGTCCCTGGACGAATTCCAAGAGAAATAGATGTTTCTTGCTCTTTGATGGCTTGGTCCAGAAGACGGATATGTCGGTCAACCTGTGCGACAGATTAGAGATAGAAAATCAGAAGAAAGGAGAGAGTACCGTTTCGTAAGCAGTTTGTGCAATATTCACCTTCTCCTCTGAGGCACGGAGGGCCTCTTCTGATACCTGCGCAATATGTTGCAGCAATATTCGAGTTGCTTTTCCTGAAGAGGGTAGTTCGATAGATGACCCCAGACTTGGCGCGATAGAAGTAGGTCTAGCATTATGTGTGTCATTCAGTACTTCAGCGGGCGAGTCAACGTTGCCTTGTTCGTCTCGATGAGGCAAATCCGCCTGCATAGCCTCTGGATCTGGGGCAGCTGGTATAGTCATCTTGCTTCGCTTTGCATCGGCAATCATATCCAGCCTCGATGTAAGTTGTATACGCAGCGCAATATACTTCCGCACATGGTCCAATAAGTCTGCATGGTAAGCTTAAAATGCACAGCTCCAGCTTGATGATGCACGGGGGAGAACTTGGTTGAACGTACCGTTGCTTTGGTGATCTAGTTCACGTATGAGCGTGTACTGGCGGTGAAGAGACAATGGAAGTTGCTCGAGTACTACAATATCCAGTTCAATGGATTGTTCTATCAGAATGATATTGGTTAACGTACTTTCATGATGTTCCTCCTTGAATGAATCCCAAATCTCGAGTTCCTTCCTCCGTTCTTCCGGGTCTTGTTCTTCTCCAACAGTATCAGCATCCGACGTACGCTCTTCGCAGCGCTCCTCCTCAGCAGGAACAGCCTGAGAACGTCGACGCTTGCGAGACATACTAGTCTTTCACAAATTCGCGGACCGCTACGGACCTCGTCCGGTCACAACAACTGAGCATGTGACTAGTTGGATATATATGGAGATAAAAGTTATTATTAAGCTGTCGGTCTGGACCAGTCCATCCGTCAACGATACTTACCTCTTCCTACCAACAATTGGTGACTGGGCCAATTGGCGGCACTGGTACCTCACTCGCCATCATTCTCGCTGAAGATAATCTCCAGTCAGACCAATAAAAGGAAGATAGTCATAAGCTGAAGGCCGTGTAGAATTGCAACAACTCCCAAGGGTATGTCAGATTCGGAGCAAATGCAGCAATCAGGTTCGTGTTAAACTATTCAGCTTTACTTTATTCCAGCCTCGGCCCTCGAAATGCGAGCAGTAACTCCTGTACCTTGCTTGCTCACTCGCCTTATCACAGAATCGAAGAAGCGAACTGTTTCAGATCTGGGTGGCGAACCCGAGAGCAGTGGCTCCATGACAAGTTCTCGAAAAGTAGCCAAGAGTGAGCCATAGTCGCTGTGTGTGAAATTACATCTGATGCGCTATTCCAGTACACCCATTCTTTACCAAACCTAGCGTTAGCTCTACGGTGTCCTCATTCCAATGGCTGAAACCTGCTCTAGGCTCTAAGCGCGCGTGTCTACACGGAATCAATCTGATACCACAAAGCACACCGAAAGTAGCTGCATTCGACCTCGATGGAACAGTAATAAAGTCAAACCACAAAGGTCAAAGCAAGGAAGCTTTATTGCACTGGGAGTGGTGGAGAGCCAGTGTGCCTGTGAAGTTGGAGGAATTACATCAAAATGGGTATGTCCAAAGTATGTCGAGCCAGGTCACGGCTCAATTCTCGCAGATACTCAATCATATTGATATCTAATCAAGCATTAAAGCAACAACATCTGGAGGGCTGGAAGAAGAAGATTCCTCTCATCTCTGCCGCTGTAAGCCCTGCTGTCTCCTTCCCTGATCCGTTCCTTCATAAACGAGAATAGCTTCCCAGTGTGCCTTTTCGAATATTAGCTGCGTCTGCAAAAGATGGCTTTCGCAAGCCTATGCCAGGGATGTGGGATGAGCTCGAACGTATTTTTGCAGAAGATGGTATTCAGATAGGTGAGTAGCATAAGCATAGTGGGATGCATCGCAAGTATATTATGCGTGTCACTTTCAGATAATAATGCTTCATTCTTTGTTGGAGATGCTGCGGGTCGTACGAATGACTTTGCATCGACTGACAGGAAATGGGCCATTAACATTGGTATTCCGTTTTATACCCCAGAAGTGAGACTCGATCGCTCGAAAGTGTTCATGACATGTTGAAACTCCTCAGGAATATTTTCTGCAACTCCCCTCAGCGCCGTATATCCTTCCTGGATTCCATGTTTCTAGTCTCCCAAAGTGTTCGCTGAGTTTTCTTTTTTTGATATTGAACCAATGAAGTTGACTCCTGAAGCAGTATCATTACTTGACCCTCCTACGGCACGAATCATTCCTGATGCCGCAGGGACAGAGCTTGTCTTATTTTCGGGCTTCCCATGCCTTGGAAAATCGACCTTTTTCCGGAGACATTTTGCGCCTGCTGGGTACACTCACATTAATCAAGATACATTGGGGAGTCGTTCCAAATGCATGAAAGCAGCTGAAGTAGCACTCGAAGCTGGTACAAGCTGTGTAGTCGGTGAGTGTTTGTAATTCTTGTATGAACTGACCAAATACATGACGGTCCGGCAGACAATACCAATAGAGATATTCCAACTAGAAAACATTATTTGGATTTTGCAAGGAAACTCCACATTCCTGTTCGGTGAGTATTTTCATTTACTTACGTCTACAGGAACATGTCATTTTTGCATTAGATGTATCGAGTTCGTTGGGTCGATGGACCTGGCATGGCACAATAACCTCTACCGTGCATATGTTCATCCTTCAATAGAGGTAAATGTTAGGTGCTTCACGAACTCTAGTCTAAATCTAATCTTGGCGACGATTAGTCGAGACGCGACATAATCCCATACGTTGCTTTTATAGGCTTTAAGAATCACTATGAGGAGCCCCGACTGACAGAGGGCTTTTCAGAAATAATTAAGGTCAATTGGGTGTTCGAAGGTTCGGAAGAAGAACGAAAGAGGTGGAGTATGTGGCTTCAGATTGACGGGAAATGAAAGTCCCACGTATTAGTAGTAATACTTGAGCACAGCTCCTGAGATTCATATTCTATGATAGCTGCAGAAGGGTGTAGTGCCGTGCTCAATACGCACTGACTCCATATTCAAGTTGCAAAATTCAACCCGTGATTATTCTAGTCCGCTTGTTGTGCAAGACCACTAAGATTCTTCGTTGCGCTTCATGATGATAATAACGTTATTATACATGAAGTTAACACCCTGATGTAAATAACTTACTGGACAAGCGTACCCAAGATGTCGAGTGCATCGATTCTGGTGTTATCATGGTCAGATTCGACGAGAATCTGCTCAGTATGCCGTAAGGTAATGTTGAGGTCCTCGTATGGTGTCAGGACTCACATGAAGCGAGTTCACATGGTTGAACTTTGTGGGATGAAGTGCAATCAACTTTGTTGTTGCGTCTTTCGAAACTTGATCCGCCTTTAACTCGATGATCTGCGTATCCTCTGAGTCCTCAAAATTGGTGAAATCGATGGCGGAGCAGTTGATACGAAGCCTGAGTTTCGCTGGTCCTCGATCCTGCGCCTGAATGACCAATGATCGTACACGAACTGCCTGGTTAAACTGCGACCACCTGCATCAACGTTGACTAGAGCAATGTTATACGAATAGTGCATACCTCGATGTTTAATAGCAACTCTGCATCTGCATCGCTGTCGAGGTATGCAGGTGATATGTTTCGTGCTTTCGAAGACATTATGGATTGCAACGTGTGTTCATCTTGCTCATTCAAGCATTGGGCTTTCGCAATGTGCTCTAGAAGGGAAACCTATGAATCCAGCGAGTCAGCGACAGACTGGGGTGCAAATGATTATTCTCAACATCTTGCATGCCGACTTTTGAAGATGCCATCATACCGATAGTACTTGATGAAAATGATTGATGAGATTGTAGTGAATGCTAGAACACCAGTGTGGCACAGAACATGAATTCTTTCATACTTAGTAACACAGCCAGGCTGCAAAACATCGACAGCAGGTACAAGACCAATATCCAGAGTACTAATGTTAACGTTCAAGCAATAGACTGATAATAATTAAGGGCAGCCATCAGACAAAAGGAAAAACTCGACAGCAAAATTGATAGCGATCATTCCAGGATTACTAACAAATAACACATTCGTCTTTGGTTTGCTGTCGCGTTGGACGTCCAACGTTGGAGCGCTTATTACCCATACGCTTCATCTCCGTCAGTCGGTTCATGGCCCGCTTGTTCCCTTGCGCTATACATAATTTGAGCCAAAAACAATGTGCAGATAATAGGGTGCTTGTACACACCTGCTGCTCTCATATACCATCTCTTGGCGAACTCGACATCCTGCTTGATTCCGATTCCCACCTCGGCGTAGTAACCCACAGCATACTCTGCTTTGCTCAAGCCTTTGTTGGCAGCTTTACGTGCCCACAAATACGCTTCAGAATCGCTCTGCTTTAACACGCCCTCACTCCCGGTCAGATACCATCCACTAAGAGCCAGCTCAGCCTCGGCGTCCCCTTTCTCTGCTGCCTTGGTGTACCACGCTATTGATCGTCTAGGATCAACAGGGCAAGTCAGCGTGCCATACTCGTAGCATTGTCCGAGCTTGTACTGGGATTGCGTATAACCTAGGCGTGCTGCTTGTTCATATAAAGACTTGGCATACGCAGGGTCATGAATAACCAATTGTGAGTTTGGCATTTCGTGAAGCATGGCGAGTTCGTGAAGTGCATGTGGATTTTCCTCGTCAGCCTGCTCTGCAGCCCGTTTCAACCAGTTAATAGCTTCTCTTGGATTCTTCTGCTCTCCCAAAGACCCAAGTAGAAGAATCATGCCCAACTTGTACATTGCGGCAGTGTCACCCAGTGATGCTGCTTTCCGATAGAATGCAGAAGCCCGCTGCGGATCCCGTCGCGTGCCTGCTCCAATCTCATTACAGACAGCGACGCGGTATGAAGCTGCTGCGTGATTCTGTTTTGCGGCTTGTAGGTACAAGTGATACGCGCGTTCATGGTCCACTTGGAGACCTAGAGAACCTGTCCCGAAACAGTTGGCTAGGAAGAACTGTGCCTCATCATAAGCTTCTTTCTGCTCCGCTAATCGACGTATGGTCTTGAGAGATTCTTGGAGGAGCAAGTCACGATATTTCTTTACAGCCCGCTGGTCCTTGGCATCCGCTCTTATCTTTTTAGCAGCATCTATGAGATATTTTGCATATAAAAAATGAGCCTCAGGGTCCGGATCGGCCTTGATACGGTGTCGGTATTGGTCGATATATTCCTTCGTGAACGGAGGAGCTGTAAGATCAACTGCCTTCGTTTTCTTGGTGCGTGGATCAACTGATGTGGAGGCAGAACGTTGTAACGATGAGGGTCGGAGTTCGAACTCGGGATCATCTAGTTCTTGAGGTACCGACGGGTTAGGTGGGCCGCCGTAGGGCAACATCCCTGCACTACCACCATAGGGTCCTGGACCAGGGGGAGCAAGATAAGGTGTAGATTGGCTTACAGGAAGAGATACTTGGCTTCCGTACGCGGGACCTGCAGGATAAAGTGGCATGTGGTGCTGTGGTGGTGGATGGCCCATGCCGAGGACGTCAGATGCGGCAGCATATAGGTAATCATATTCGTCCTGACGAGAGGGGCCTGGGTGTGTAGGACCTGGGCCAGGAGGGTAGTACGCGGGAGGCAAAGTTGCCTGTGGACCCTGCTGCCCAACTTGAAACTGTCTCGGCGGATAAGGTGGGGGTTGAGAATAGGGTGTAACGGAACTTTCTGAAGAAGGGTATGGACTTTGCCCTTGATTGTCGCAATTACGCATGTCCATAAGATCTGTATCTACGGAGAGGCCACGATGGAGATCACTGGAGTAAAGCGAGGCTTCATCAACTGTGTGGGAACGTTCAGCTGGATGTCGCAGTCGTAGAGGGCGGGTAACATTCATGTTAGGCGCTGATGGTAACGTGCTCGCATATCGCGGAGGGTAGGGACCGCGCTGATCGGGAGAGAGTGATTGCATTGACATGGAAGTCCCTGCACGAGGAACAGGATCAGAGCTGTATGACATTGCGCTTGTCCCCCGGGGTACGGGGTCGCTTAAATGCATTGCGTTCATGCTGTCTACAAGATTTGAAGGATTAAAATTGGGCAGTGGTGGCACGTCATCGTATTCCGATCTTTGACGGTGGGAGGGCAAGGAAGGTACGGAGAGATTAGTGTGGCGAGTAAAGGCTTGAAATGACAAAATGATAATCAACGATAAGAAACAGAACGTTAGAACATCACTAACCAGGGTTTAGAAGATGGTTGTTTGCACCATGGTAATTGGCAGCAGGGCCTTGTGGTGCGTGCTGTTCCAGCGCCCAGTTTTCTTGACTGTTCAGAGGTATTCCATTATGATCCCAATGCGCCCCCTCAACTGGTAGGTGATCTTGCGAGTCGTGTTCGGGCTGGTCATAGGCCAACGATGAGTCGGGGTCGGACATGATTAACAAAGCAGAATAATAAGCCGACAGACAACAGAGAAAAACCTGTCGAAATAAATGTTTCAGCAACCAACGAGCACTGAGCTAAATTGAAAGCAAACCTTATAAACTATAAACCACGACGATGCAGAGACTAGGCCGACCAGGAAAGGCAGGCTAATGCTAGACTTGCACAAGACAGACGATTGCCAGCAAGACTACAAGTTACCGTTACCGAGGTTGTCCGAGTTGATTTCCCAGGGCAAAGTGAATCAAACTAAGCTGGTCTATTTATCGTCCACACGTTCTACTAAGAGTTAATGTTTAATGACAAACTCCTAATAGACAAGATATCTTGAACAATTATGCATGAGCATCTATCACCTCCATTGTTTGAGTCGTCTCCAGCGGCGAGGTAACATGAACTTCAGTCCCTTGCTTCGTCACTTCTTCGCATCCTGGTGCGTCTTCCATGGGCTTCATCTCGACATCTTGGAGATCCCCTTCTGGCTTCGAAGACTCAGCTTTCCAAGCCCACTTTTCCATCACTCGCTCTATCCGCTGCCTTTCCACTCCATTTTCAGTCTTCCTGACTTTAATCACCACATCTCTCGTTTTCTCCACAGTTGCCCGTTCCTCTTGTTCCTGACCTTCAAACTCTTTGTTCCACTCCGTCCATTCTCGTTCCCATATATCTAATGTCTTTGGAGGGTGAATATTCACGACCCGCTCGTCCCATTCCCGGGGAAGTTCATTGACCACATCCCATCCTTTGGGTTGGAAGTTCCTGAACTGTACGCCCACAGCTGCACTGGCGGGCGACCGCTTCCGTTTGTGGCCATTCACCATATTAGTCTTGACCGGGCGCCTGAGGTCCTCATCATCGCTCGTCGATCCCGCTGCAAGCCGCACACGCCACCTAAGCTCACGAGCCAACGCTGGTGCGTCCTTCACACGATCACTTGGGACATTTTCTTTGGCTTCCCGTTTCGCAATCTCTGTCCCGCGTTCCATGGCTTGTGACTCTGACACGAGAAAACGGGCAAGAGCTTCAAGAGATTCCAGAACACGAGGAGGAAACTCTTCTTTCGATTTCAAGTCTCGCAAATATTTGTCGCCTACATACCAGCAGAGCCTAGATAATAGTTGTTCAGAAAGTCTAACAGAAATGAAGAACAATCTCACTTGACAAACAACGGAAACCTGAATTTCTTTGGCACATGCGTTACTTTCTCAATGTCAATCACTTTCAGCTCTGTATCATGATGGTCTATGGCATGAAAAAAGAGCAGCAAGAAGCTAACTCACGTGTTGCAATGTTGTATGAGTGTAGGAAATTTCCACCGAAGACTAGAGAATCTACTGGTGTGTGCTAAAGAAACAGCCGATCTTTCATAATCTTAGAGACAACAGCGGCAGAGGTGCTCACCACAGCATGTATCCACCCTGTAGGTATTATCATCGTATTACCTGCGTGAAGAGTGACCTTCACCACCTCGTCCACCATGTCACCTAACCAAACATTGCTTTGCATCTCAGTCCCGGACCATCGTTCGTATGCTTGTAAATTGGCTGGCGTGGGTCGTATGAAGTAGAATACCTGGGGTAAACGCCCGATCTATTAGAAGGATGAAGCTTATAATTTAGATACCGACCTTGCATCCACGAAGTATATGGTAATACACTGACGAACCAGCAAAATCTACGTGCCAATCCTATAACCAATTTTTGGAGCACTATCACCCACAAAAAATAATGATCACTCACTGTCCATGCGGAAGCAACTCCCATGAGACAATACAGCTGCACTTTGGGGTACGCATGCCCCTTCCCTTTACGTGTACTTGGCCAGAACTTCTCAACCCAATCCAATTCTCTCACAAGTCTTGGGGGTAACACCTGGTCTGCAAGTTTGGTGCCTGAAATCTCCAACGATATCACGTTACGGATCTTATCTCGTTTGGAAGGTTCGGTATTATAGTACTCAGCCCAACGCCCTAACGTCCATCCAGGCGAGTTTGACTGTGAGGCAACATCTAAGCGATACATCAGCAACACATATGCTCTGTAACGAACACACTCACCAATGACCTCCACAGGTGTTTCGTGGCCAACTTCATCCGCAACATCTTGAACCGAGAATTCGGGTGGAGGCATCTTCATTCTCAGTCCCTCAGGATTCTCCACTACAATTGGTTCACGCATCGCGGTTTCGTCGTTCTCCAACCATTCCAGGCCCAATTCTGCACCCTTCATTCTCCTGAAATTGTCGTCCTTGATCGGCTTGCTTTGAATGACTCGTAACCATCTGCTCGGGTCGGATTCGACTCCTGCATTGAGGTTCGCATAGTCTAATTGTGTACGCTTCCGTGAGGACTTGCGTGCAGGAACCTTGAACGTCATCACACGCGACGGCTTCTCTGTCATGCATGGCCCGCAGAACCTGTTTCATGACATCCAATATTAGATAAACCACACGTAGTTGATTCGCCTATAATATGCACCATTTGTTAATGGACTCGAGGTCATTACTGTCCCCTACGCATGCCCAGTGGAACCAAATTTTGCAGGCATCACAGCGTATCCAACTGCTCTTCTCTCCCTGCACGCCTTCTCTGCATGATGGGCACATATCTTCATCCGTCTTGGTTGGTGCGGATTCCGCCTGCGTGGGCTCTGGTTCATCCTCCATTGGTGTCAACGACGAACGTGATGAGCTTGGCGAGCGCTCTGGTGACTTTTGAGTTGCTGAACGTGTAATGCGACGTCGACTCCGAGCCATCCGTTGCTTATAATGTCAGGAAGTCTTTACCACAAAAATCTAACTGAACGGCCCCAACCCGATGCTTGAATTATCAAGAGAAATAATTATCTAATATTTCCTGCTTAGGCTTGCTTAAGAAAAATAACGTTCAAACATCTTGATAATAATTAGCTAATATAGAAGTCACGTCACTAAGCAAGTCCTTGATAAGACTGATCATGCAATGAGGTCTCTTGGGCCACCATCTTGATCGCCTATGCTGCTTTCACATCCGTACTAAAATATGCGTTTTACAAACTGATATAGTACAATTCCATTGTAATACTGAGGTACAAACCCCTCTATAAACAAGCCGTCTTCCTTCCTTCGTAGAGTCACTTCTCGCTAAGCTCAGCCACACCAGGCAGGATCTTGAATGTTAATCAGTTAACTTGGTTCGGGTGACTGAACTTGATAGCCCTCACCTTGCCCTCCAACAGCTCCAAGCTAGCACCTCCGCCTGTACTGACGTGACTTATCTTGTCCTCAGCGTTATAGAGTGCCGCAACTGTTGCAGTATCACCACCACCAATTATGACGGTCACGCCTCTCTGCGCAGCCTCGACGTTTGCATCGAGGAGAGCTTTTGAGCCCTCTGCAAAAGCAGGGAACTCAAACACACCGGGAGGACTATGGAAATTGAGATAAAAGAATGCTCCATGAATATTACACGTACCCATTCCATAATATGGTCTTGGCCTCGAGTACTGTCTGGCGAAACAACTCGCGGCTTTTCTGGCCGGCATCGAGGCCCATCCACCCACTAGGAATGCCCTCAGCAGCAGTTGCAATCCCGGTCTGCGAGAACAATCAACGCAAAGAACAGACATGCAGCGGAATACACACATTTGCATTTTTGTCGAACTTGTCAGCAGTGATAAAGTCGATGGGGAAGACCAGTTTTACATTGTTCTTCTTTGCCTTTTCCACAAGGGCTTTAACCTTTTCAGAACCGGCTTGGTCAAAAAGGGAGTCTCCAATCTTGGATAACGCCGTGAGTGATCACTTATTATCAAAAATTACCCGTAGAACTCACGGATACATTGTTCAATGTCTTTGAAAATGTGAAAGCCATGCCACCGCAGATGATAAGAGAGTTAACCTATTCAAGCAAGCGCAAAAATCCAAGCGATAAACAACCGACTTGCGGCCGAGAAACTACCCACCTTATCCAACATATTCTCAATCAGCTGAATCTTGTCTGACACCTTGGCACCTCCAAGGATAGCGAGGAAAGGTCGGTCAGGATTCTCAAGAGCTTTTGCGAAGTACTCAAGCTCCTTTTTGACAAGGAAGCCTGCGGCTCGTTGGGGCAATTTGACGCCGACCATACTCGAGTGAGCACGGTGAGCAGTGCCAAAGGCATCATTGACATAAATATCACCGAGTCGTGTAAGTGCATCCCTGAACTCTGCAACCTTGGCAGGGTCAGCCTTAGTTTTTGTTCCATCTTTGTTCTTGACAGAACCCTCCTCCTCGATATGGAAGCGAAGATTTTCGAGAAGAATGACAGAGCCAGTCTTGGCAGTGTTCACAGCATTCTCGACCTCAGGGCCCACGCAATCGGGGAGAAAGATTACGGGTTTTTCGAGATGATTTTGGAGCTCGCCAGCGACTGGTTTGAGGGAGTACTTTTCAACAACCTTGCCATCTGGACGGCCGAGATGGGACATGAGGACAACGGTCTTCGCGCCTGCAAATAGAAAAATTCTCAACGTGACAGCACTCCACATACATACATACATAGCACACTGACCGTTGTCAAGAGCATACTTAATAGTGGGCAATGCTGCCACAATACGCTACAGCCCTTTCAGCAACGATAAAAGTGTGACGAGGAAGTGCTCACAGCGGGGTTAGTAATTTTTCCATCCTGCATGGGAACATTGAAGTCAACGCGGATGAGGACACGCTTGCCCTTTAGGTTGAGATCTGTGATGGAGAGCTTGTTCGAGAGAGACATGGTGGTCGTCAACTTTAGGATCAGTGGGGCGATGACCGAATAATTTACGGATATCTTTTATCTTATCAGAGCAGATGAGGCTCTGATTTCCCACATCAGCGCTGGACTGTCCATGGACTTCTCAAGGTCAAATTCTCTCCGCGGCAGTATGGTTTCCCTTGGTCGCGCCTTCCATCGACCACAATGGCTGAGTCCTCCACAAACTCCCTTGGCCTTGATTTCAATAATCTTTCCATCAAGGAGACAGCTGAACCTCCTCAGACTAATGCGGACGAGTCACAGGTGTTAGAAAATCAGCCAGCAGATGTGGAGTCAAGGGACGTGAAGGAGAAGAAGAAACCTTATGTGAACCCCGAACGCGTCAAGACGGGCGGAGCGCAGAGGGTATGCAATACTAGGACGGTATAATATGTCTTGCTAACTGGTTCATAGGAGAAACTCAGTGAAGAAGCGCTTGCTGAACGAATGCAGCGTATCAAAGAGCAGAATGAGAAGATTAAACAACGCAGAATTGTAAGTGACACGCATATTCGCAACGTCAATTAACCAACATGGTATGATCAGGACGTACAAGCAGATGAAGACGCGTTCAAGAAGACTCAGGAGGCCGACCGTGTGCGCCAAGCCCATCAGCGCAAAGTGCAGGAAGGCGTTGACCGCACCCGCGAGCAGAACGCTCGGAGAAAATTGGACAAGATTCAGAACCGTGAATGGGACTCTGGAAAGTCCCCGGGTGATTGGAAACAGGCGAGGAACCCTGCTCCAACTGAGGAACCTGCAGCGGTTTCAAGTTCCTCGCCACCTGAACATAGAGGGAGAAGGAGTGGAAGTGGCAGAGGAGGACCATCGAGAGGTCGCGGGCGCGGGCGCGGAGGACCGTCTGTAGCTGGATTTGCCAGCCCAACTAATGGCACTCAAGTTGCCGATACCTTTTCGTCCACCAATGAGTCTACCCCCGTCGCGTCTGAGGATCCTGAGGCAGTTGGAATTGCTTCATGATCCAGGGCTATATTCTGTTTTGTATGGATACCATTTGACTTGGCTTATGGCTCAGATGACGATGACCTGTATGACTTGTGCTTTTTGAAACCAGGGGCGTTGTTGACTTATTGTAACTCATGACCTATCCTCACCTGCATTTTTTCTTAGCTGCCTTATTAGCATTTACAGTATGATGCCGTGTATAACGTTTTCCTGACAATATCTCTGCAGTTGAGTTATGTGGTGTCGTCGTTGAGCGGTCGGTCGTGGTGTAGTGGTCATGACATATACCCTTCCTCGTCCGTCAGCTTGGAATAAGAATGCTACTGGTAAGCACTCGTATACAATACCGCAGGTTGTTCAGCATGGTATATTTTACAGGCCAATTCTCCAACTTACAAGACAAGCAATCTAGTGTTGATTCTACGTTAACCCCACTCCCGACTTCGAAAATAAGAACTGTTTTCGCGACCACTCATTTTGCTTTTTTGTTCATCTTAGATGCTTATCTTGATCACGCCAGTCAACCAACCTGAATACTCGACGAACACTAGAATTTCGTGAGACAGCGCGAGACCAGCTCCAAGCCGTTGTGTGTATACTACCTGTTAGCATTTCGGGTGCTTTATCCACATACCTTTCCCCGTACGCAAGATCGTCCAAGGAGCTCAATTTGAAGTCTTGAGTTACATGGTGCACATCACCTGCAATCGGTTGGGTTCATGTTACATCTGTACAGAGGTCTTACACAATCCGTTCGTAAGGACCTCGAGTTTGACCAAGTCAGCATGAGTGGAATTCATCACAGTTAACGTTTGAGCGCGGTGCTTTCAAAACAACAGTACGGTTCACAACCGGGTGAAAGAGTTTACCGCAAACATCATACGGTTTCACAGCAAGTAAGCCTTAGACCAAGCTTCATGGTGTGAGGCCAGTAAACACACAGCCGGGGATATCTTAGCAGCCTGGATGCAGGCGGGAAGATAACTGTAGAATGATAAAATGAAGTGTGATAGTGTAACTCAGGACCTTGTACATAAGTTCAATAACCGCCCCCATCATCAGCAGCTCTATGCGATGCCATCTGTCGTCTCTGAGCATCTTCCAACTTCGGGCAATTCGATATTCCGTGTCCAAGACCTGATGCTATAATCAACAAGTAATTCTTGCTAATAAATATCATACGTACCCCCACATACAGGACAACCTTTGAGAGAGCCACCCTGTGCTGCTCGAGGATCTTCAATGGTCCGCAAAAAGGGCGGAACCCTGTTACATGTCAGCAAAACATATCAGAGCAAGACAAACAACAAACTTCTGTCCAGCCTCCATCAACAAATATTTCAAATCTAGAAGTGTCTGCTCTGGTGTTGTCATATTTACAAACGTTGTAGCTATGCCAGTCTTTCCGCTACGTCCCGTACGGCCAATTTGATGCACGTAGTCCTCGATCTCTTTCGGCATGCTGAAGATGATGACGTGTTGGATATCATTGAAGTCGAGGCCCTTCGAGGCAACGCCCGAAGCAACCATAACATCTTTCGCACCGGACTTGAACGATTTAATTGCGTATTGCCGTTCCTCCTGCGCTAAAGGCAAAAGTAAGGACCTCTCTATAATTAGCAACGAGGAAAAAATGATTACTCTTTGAACCATGAATTGCCACAGCCTCGACACCTTTCAGCAAGAGATATTCTTGTATATCTGATATAAGATGAGAACTTCGACGTTTGAAAGAGAAGATAATATCCCACCATCGACTTCATTTTTGTTCTCACTAAAGATAATAACTGGAGGAGCAGTTTTCTGAAGGCACTCCAGCAAATAAACCATCTTTGCCTCCTGCTTAACATACTCCACCACCTGAAGAACGTCCAAATTTGCGGCGCCAGCGCGGCCAACATTCACAAGAACAGGTTTGATCAACGACTGCTGCGCAAAGTCTTGGATCTTTCGAGGCATTGTCGCAGAAAAAAGCAAAGTTTGCCGTTGTCGCTATCAAGGATCATGAATTAATCAACCAATTAACAATTACTAATGGCATACCTTGAAAAAGCTCATAATGTTGCGTACATCATCCTCGAAACCCAAATCAATCATCCGATCAGCTTCATCCATACACAAAAACTTGCTGTTGTTAAATGTGAACTTGCGCTTCTCTAGCATATCGATCAGACGGCCAGGAGTAGCTACCACAATGTGTAGACCCTTATTGAGCACGTGACTTTGTTCGCCCATTGATATGCCGCCAATACAGAGGAGGGTATTCAGCTGTGGATATTTTCCGTCTTTTGCAAGCGCGGCTGTCCAGGCAAGCACATTTTCATATGTTTGTGCAGCCAGCTCGCGCGAGGGACAAAGAACAACACCTACTGGGCCTTCTCCACGAACAAACGGGAGCTTCGTCTCTTCTTCCAGTGCGAGCATGATCAAAGGAAGGCAGAAGGCAAGGGTTTTGCCGGAACCAGTGAAAGCAATGCCAATCATATCTCGACCAGCGAATCTATGAGCTTGGTCAGGGGAAGTCAACGAAAGAGTGCGAAAGGTCATACGCAGTGGGTATTCCTTGTAATTGGATAGGTGTTGGAGTATTGATTTTCTTGGACTTTAGAAATTGCAGCATCGATTCTGGTATCTTCATGTCCTACAAAACAGTCAATCTAGGGCTGATTGAGATATTCATTGTATGAGTACCGAAAAATGTTCAATAGGAGGAGGTATGTCTTCTCCATCCACAATGATGTGGTATTTTTCTCGCAGTCGTCGATGTTGCTCATCTGTGCGTTCTCGAATATATGTCGGCGGCCGCCATCTGTAGTATAAGTCAAAATACAGTCAATCTCCCATTCATAGCGCAAAGCTCACGATGTTGTGAGGGAGTCTGTGTACAATATGCCTTTCGCAAGTTCTAGATCAGATGCGAGTTTCCTGCGACTTGCTATGGCAGCAAGTATCTCTGCATCCGCTTCTTCTTCTTTTTCTACTTCAGTCTTCTTTGCATCTATGACAATATTAGCATATATATATATAGCTCGCAACTCAGTAAGACACGCACTCTCTGCAGCTTTGCGCTCGTGTACTTCCTGTGCTTCCATGAGCAAAGGCCTCTCCTTCCGTGTCTTCTCGCGTTGCCGTTCCTCTTCCCTTTCTGCATCTTCGCGCTCCAATAATTCTTCTAGCTGCTTCTTTGCCTTCGTCCTGTCAGAAACGGTGCTTAATGAAGAAAGTTTCGCCAGCTTAGCTTCTCGTCGTTGGGCAACAGGAATGTAGGGCACATAGTCATCGTCCTCATCATCGAATTTGTATGTTGGTGACGGAGAGCGTGAGATGCGACGTCGTTTCGGTGCTGATTCCATGTCAGCCGTGATAATCAGTCCGTGAGTTAAGCCTGGTAGCTGTTAGGGTAGACTTGAAGTAGACCTTGCGGTGTTTTAGCAAACGTCACGTGATAAGCGTGATAAACAAACTTAATCATCTCCGAGACTACATAAAAGGAAGACGTCTTGCCGGCCAAGACACTAATCAAACACTGATGTAGGAATGGAGGGGCACTACCTATTTGCTTCTCACACCACATCATTCCTTTCGTACGAACTCAGCGTCGGCCTTTGCCCGACAATATGCTGGCGGAGTACTTGTTTTCCATTGATACCACGCCAGCACCTACACATACTTACGATAGTACAAGCGGGAGTAAGCCCCCCGCGAACAGGGCTCATAGATGTCCTACATAGGGTCTTCGACCCCGAAGGACAATAAATTTTTTTTTTTTTAAAAAAAAAAAAAAAGTGTGATAAAGCGTGACAATAGCAATGAATGTGTATTTTTTAAGAAGGATCATCATGGCGACAAGATATAAAAAACAAAAGCGGAGGAGTTGTGATGTATGTACAACTCGATGAGTCCTTTGTTTCAGAATCATGATTGTGCAAAATTGATGGAGACGGCAACACAAGCAAGCTATATCCCAACCGAATGCAGTAATCACAACTTTTACTAGTTAAACGACGATAGGTGAATATTAGCTAGTGAGTAAAAACTTTGGATGTACTCGAGGACAGATGGAGTACATGAGACGGCAGGATAAGGCAAGGTAGATGCGAGACTCCAATATATGTGCTTTGGACGAGCAATGAAACTAGAAACAAACTTTAACAGGCAAGAAAGAAAGATATGAGTGACAGAGGCACGATAAAACAGGGTGAGAGGGCGACGAAAAAGAGAACGCGCACGGCCAGACAGAGTGAGCGACGTGCGGGAACGACTCGGAGCTACGTCAGTCAGACTCTTACCTCCAAATTAGACAAAGGGGCCTCCAAGGATGATGCTGAGTCATGATGATGCGGCGTCGCGAATCGTTTCAACAAGTTTAACCCCGAATTAATAGCTGAGTATCTATTTGCTCTATAAAGTACATCAGAATCGTGTTATCTTTCAAACTCGAACTCTTCTATCAACTGTTGTCTCTAGCCTCTTGGTGAACGCTCGCGACATGCAGACAATTGATCGGCACTAGAAGTGCTACTTACCAAACGCTATACATTGGTCCCAAAATATTCCCTCTTTGACATCGATAATGATACTACATCGGGTAGCGAAACAGTGGAGCCTGGTTTGGGGCGGTGCGTGTCGACAGCACCGATAGGGAGAGTATACCTACGGTTTGTGAGTTAAGAGAAAGCAGTTTAGTGGAAAAGTGAATGGAAAATCAACGAAGAAACACTCACCGCTCCTCATCACAACCATACGCCTTCGGAGTGAGCTTGATGACAGTATGTAAAGGTACATTGATGTAAGGTAGATCAGCCTGTGGAAGATCATGAAAGTACGCGTAGAGGCAACGGAGGATTGCCTGCCATGATGGTCAGCATAAATTATTGCCATGAAGTGGATACAACAAAATTAAGGTATGGATCACAAAAAAGTCAGACTGCTCGAGTACAAGAATACACACGTACTTGATGTCCAAAAATCAATATGTTTTCCTGCCGCTCAAGTTCCATGATGACAGGCTCGAGGCGCACGACAACATCTCGGTAGGACTCGCCGCCTCGGTAACGATAGTTGAATTTGTCTTCGTCACGGTTGGCAAAATCTTCTGGGTATGCTTGCTGAAACGCGAGAGAAATTTAAATTAAGGATCTCAAGTGAGGAGCATTAACATAAAACAGTATGCACCTCAATCTCCTCATATGTCATACCGTCGCAGACGCCAGCATCGAGTTCATCGAGAGATTTCCAAGTGAGTTTGGGGTAGGGAAGTTCCGCAGCGGTTTGGATGGTGCGTTGAAGTGTCGAAGTCCAGACCTGTACGTTTGAGATAAGGTTCCGTACCATGGCTAGAAGGAGACAGGTACAATAAGTGGTGCATCCCCGATGTTATTTCGCACGAGCTCGGGGAGCGCGTGAGCGTATGCAAGGCCGCGTTCTGAAAGTAATGAGTCCCCGCCAATCCTGCCTTCAACGTTATACTGGCTCTCCCCGTGCTACAACAAGACTTGGGTCCAGGTTTCGAAATTTTCGAAAAAAAAAAACGCACTCTGGAAAGAAATATATTGCGTGGCTTCACATGCAAATTCATTAAATAAAAGGCAATGCGGCTTTGCAAGTAACCATTTATTCTGCTGAGCGTGACTTCATTGCCAATATCGGTGATCCGCAGATAGCTAAGGTGGGGTTCAGTGATGGTCTCGTAAACGGCCTCATACTCCTTGATGCGGCGAAGGAAGTCGCGTTCGGCCACTTCACGGGGAAGGTCCTTATAGTCCGGATCGCCGGAGGAGACCTTAAGGGCAACGTTGGCAGCAATGACAGCGGGATCGTTGCATACAGACTCGAGAAATATGACAGACATGCCCTTTTCTTTGGCAACGCGGGCGGAGATTTTGGCACTGAGTAAAGTAGGATTAACTACCACTGGTAGATGATCACATGGAATGGTGAGCGTACCGTCTCATACGGGTACTGTTGGTTGCATCTAAGGGGTGTGAATGGGCATGACTGGGGTAGAAAAATAAAAATGTACCGTGTATGGCGACGTTGCCGCCCCTTTTCAGCCATCGAATGAGCATCTCGAGGCTGTCTTCTGCGAGTTGCTCGCGAAGCTTGGTGGCTTCTACGTTGTTGTGGCTGAAGTAGCTAGAAGTGTGATCTTCGAGAATTCCAGATCTGCAAGAGGTGTATTATATATAATGCACGAATAAACACTACGTACTGCTGGGCTTTGCGGTGCGCGCGTGAGCGGCGAAGCTGACCAACATTGAAGACCTGACCAATGATAAGGATCAGATTGACCTGATAACTAGGGCAGCATACCTGTACGTCATACTCGAGCCACTGAAGAGGGTAAGTGAAATTTGATGGCAGCGATAAGACGAACCTTGAGATAACGCATGAGCTTGTTGCTGAGGTAGGATTTGCCACGGGCAGGCAGTCCCACCATCGCAAGGACGATTTTTGCTTCGGAGTAGTCTGGTTTGGCGACTTGTATGGTGGAATGATAACTGAGTGAAAAACGATAGAGGTGAGGTGAGGCAAACCTTTGTTCCCGATACCAACGACGGAACGTGGGGGAGTCGGAGCCTGAGAGCCTTTCCGACTAGAGGCGGTGGACTCGTCAAACTGCTTTAGCCTGTGCGGGATGTCCAATCGGCAATTTATGATTTAAAGATGACAGATAGAGAGAGATCTGAGGACTAACATTGGCCCACCAGCACGGAATATGGCAGGCGGACTGCCGCGAACGACGCTGTCTAGGGCGGCATCTGTATCGTCTGCCATGTCTTCGATAGCACCGAGGGCTGCGGTGAGCTCTGAGGAGAGAATAGGAAAATGAACTCTGTTGTGGTCTTCGTTCGGACGATTCATGATGCAGATGGTTGCTGAAAAGTAAGCTCAAGTGAGAACCCCCTCAAGTGATTACTGGCGATAATGATCTCAAGCACGTGCTCCACGCGAATCTTTACTACGACTATGCAAGCAAAAGGTTTCCATTCAACGCTCTCAACTAAGATTCCTCTACGTACACGACATGAACATGTGGCATGCGACTTGTTTGTCCTCTATGAACTTCCAGCCGATATTATCGTTGACCCGTTTGAGCTCAATGACCATGGACTCTGCTTCCAGTTTGTGGGGAATACGAATCTGGAGCTACCAATGTCGGGGGTAGCAGATGAATCAGGTTGGCTGCTGGTCGCTGTCAAGCCGGAGGCAGACTTGGTCATGGTGGATGTGCCTCTCCATGTTAGGTACGGTGTGCCACACGAGGGCCATAGCCCTCGTCACATCATCCAGCTACCTCCTCCAACTTGTTTCTGGGCTTGTCCTTCCTCAAGTGCGCTTGAAGCTCTCTTTTGTTGCCTTGATCCTAATTATTTCTTTTTAAAGACAAATCGTTCCCCAACGCGCTCCCATCTCAGTCTCCCAAATTTCACTTGCTTAATTCATCTGCTCAGTTCGAAATCCTTCGTCGCGGTTACGCAACTTCATTGCCTTTCTCATTCGACATTCCTGTTGGCAACATCAATCACACTCTCTATATCGAGTTATGTACCGTGACTGTGACCCTCCTTGCTTTCGTGTACATTATCCGGCAGTGTTGGACAATCTCCAAAACCCTCTATTCTGTGCACCTCAAGATGCAATAGCTCTTTTTAGCACAGAGTATAGAGAAAGGCAAGCAAAATATCAGTCCCATACCCATACCATCGAATGAAACGCGTGAACATGACTGGTGACCGCTCCCTACACAATCACACACCGTCGCTGTTTCACCATCTTCCCCCAGCGTCCCTTCATACTCTCTCGCAATGCGAGGTTGAACACATCTTGCACACCACTTCCTGTCTTTGCTGAGCATTCAACATACTTGGCACCGATCTCCCGCGCCACCATCCCACCTTGCTCAGGTGTCACTGGTACCTGACCTTGCGCGCCAAGCATCCGTCGCGTTTGTTCGTCCCGCCGCAAGTCAGTCTTAGTTCCAACGAGGATGAGAGGTGTTCCTTCACAAAAATGGGCAACTTCGGGGTACCACTAGGATGTTGGTCAACGCAACTGGGTTTGGCACGCTGCTCAGCAACATACCTTATCTTGCACGTTTCCTAAGGAGACAGGAAAATCGATAGAGAACACGATCAGGATGACATCAGATTCTGGATAGGATAATGGTCGTAGTCGATCGTATTCTTCCTGCCCTGCGGTGTCCCAAAGTGCTAGCTCTACCAGTTTGCCGTCGAATTGAATTTGCGTGACGTAGTTTTCGAACACAGTTGGTATGTAAGACTGTAGTCATGCGTCAATTAAATGTGAATGAGCACATATGGATAGGTGATAGGCGTAACTCGTGCGTACCTCGGGGAATCTATTTTCTGCATATACGATGAGGAGACAAGTCTTCCCGCATCCACCTTGAGTGTAGTGGATTGAGCGCGGGCACGGACACTGAAGAGACAAGGGCAAGGGTCCGCGCACCATCTCCAACTACTACCAGCTTCTTCTTCATGTCGGGTCTTCTTGAGTCCATCGGTAGCAGTTATAATTATGGTTTGGGTGAGCAATGTATGAAGAGATGGACGATGGGATAGACAGCGAGCTGAAACAGATAGAGTAGATGTTCAGAAAGTCTGCAACTCGTTGCTCGTTCGACGTTCACAAGACAATTCCAAACGCGTTGAATGCACTAGTCACGTGGTGACGACGTACATACACAGCTGGTTGCATTTGAACAAGGTAGGTCATGTCATCCATTTTCTGGCCATGTGATGTCTCAAGGAGCGGGTTCTGCTATGGGTGGGATCATCCTGTATTGTGTGTAGCAGGTGTACTAGAGGTTGAGGAGGTACGTCGGATAGTCACACAATGTTTGCCATTTGTCGTGATTGATCGATGGGCCACTGACACGTACAGGACTTCTATGCAGAAGCTCTACTCCAACGTGTCGTTCGTTCAGCGGAGACACAAGCCCTGATTAAAATTTGTGGTGCTCCACGGGTTCTCGGACGTTGTGTATTCAGTTCCTTCGCGAGGTCATCATACCCCCAACCGGATGTCGACATGTTCTGCGGTCCCTCAGGGTCTGATACTTCTCGCATGTCCAATATACAACTGACTTTGATGTTAGGGCATATTCCGCTACATACATATACTACCATCGTCACGATGCAAATTCTTTGCGGTTTTATGGCATGGGCTCGAATGGAACACGCCTTTTCGATCTTCAGGATGAGGTTTTGCGTTCGAGCTTGAAGCATGGTTTTCCGCATACCACATCGTCGCGAAGCGCATCAAATACAGGGCAGATTCTCGTTAATCAAGTGTGTGTTCTAATAATTACCTGTGCCAGAGCTTGACTTTCCCAGTGGAACTCTGCAAAGTCTCTCGAGCAGTTCATAGAGCACGAGCAACGTGGTCAGACTACCGCCGTCCAAGGGCCCAGCACTCGATTTCAAGGGACCTCAAATTTTACGGCTATCTATAAGAAATTCCAATGTACAATCGACGGAATCGAAAATTCAACAAATCTTTTCTGGCGTGTCGCGTCCTTTGCCTTCGTCTATTCAAGAGAATTTAGCATCGTAGGTAGGCACTGTGTCTTGTATCGGGATATGATATCCAGCTTGCGCTAAGTCCAACAGATCGAATCTAGGGCGAAGAAATTGCGTCGCTTGCTCCGGGGCGTGCAACCTGTTTCAAACGGGGACGTGAGACTCAAGTCTTCTCAGTATATCGAGTCCGGCTCTTTTTCAATCCCTTTTGTGTGACAACGCTTAAAATTTTCAAAGGTTTTACAATACCCTTTGGATCATCTTGAATGATCTTATCATTGGGATTGCGCTTCGTCAATTTTTACGGCAGGACCGTCAGGCTTTTCTGCACCTTTTCAAGCTTGTCTTTGAGGTCCGAATTGTTGAGCATTGCACCATGCTCTTTCTGATGCAAATGGACAGGAAAAGGCCGTGCATAAAATACAACAGATCCTTTTATGGCTCGATTGTTGGCCTGCAGGCCTCAAACTGAATACAGAACTCAGCCGATTCTACTCGCACAGCTTTATGGGGCTGATTGCACTTTGGAACAGTGGGTATCGACGTCCGTCCCTGCGCGATATTCTGTCAATCTTTATTGATGCATAGGAGGCTTCCGAACCGTCATACCTATCATTCCTATGTTATTGAGTGCGCTTGAGCTGGGGAGTGCATTTGGGGTGACAATGGCGTTTGCCATGGTATGTGATCTTGTCTGCGTCTTTATGGCACATGTACAATTGTGCTATTTGGTCTCGGTGACTGTGTATGGTCATTTGTTACGCTTGACGGCATCACTCTGGAATCTTTTTCGAGGTGTGGCCTTCCACGGTTCTATAATGAGAACTAGTACTGACACAATCTCAGGACGACGACATAACGTGCTAAGGAATCGGACGGATCCTTGGGACTACGATGTCGACCAGCTACTTTTGGGAACTATTCTCTTCACACTAATCGCTTATCTTTTCCCTACCGTTCTGGTGTACTACATTTTGTTCGCTGCTGTGAGTCTTAGTATTGATGTTGGCGAGGTATGTTAGCTGACTTGTATACAACAAGATGCGTGTCTCGACTATTTTAGTCTATGCGAGTTTGGAGACGGCGCTTGCATTTATGAATTATTTTCCACTCTTTGCATTAATGCTTAGAGTCAAAGATCCGCAGCGATCACCTGGTTAGTAACATGAGACCAGTCGGTGCATGCGCTGAAGAACGTATCCTAGGCGGATTTTATATGAGAGTGGAACCAACCAAGGGCGGAAATGGCGGAAATGTTTTCGTCAAGGTGCGCCATATTTTTCGTGATTTGCGATGCTTAGTAGTTCTCTTTTACAGAGCCACCCACTGCCTCTTGCTGTCACTTTTAGCCAGTATGGTGCGTCTCACCAGTGTAGTCGGCAAAATCATATCATAATATGACAGACAGTCGAACTATGGAAGCGATTGGCGAAGCATTATCATCCATTTCGTCTCGTGTGGTGTGTTGTGTCGGGTCGAGTTCTCGATACCATCCCGAGAACACATGTCCATAGCCCTGCCTCATAAGTCTATAAATGGTATTTTTAGGCTACGGCAGTAGTGTGTTTTGTTGTGTCATGGTACTGTAGAGATACACACTTAGCTTCGACATTATCTGGGTGTGACCAACTGAACCTTAGCTTCGAAGATTCGAAGACGGGTGTGACCTGTGACATGCCAGCAATAGCTTCGAATCAGCACCACTACCAGCTGCTGTCAGCAAGAGCTCACAGTTGATGGTGATGAAGAGAATTTTGGTCATGTAAAGCGAGATGCAAATAGCATCCTGCTATGGAAAGCTGGACGCACGCTCATTATTAAGCGTCACACATCCATAACAGGCAGTAGGACTCCGTGTACTGCTAGTTTAAATTGTCCAAGAATGCTAGATATATACACGACGAAAAAAAATCACCATCCATCTACCATGTCATCGTCACTTTCGCAATCTGAGAACTCCCAAACCACCAAACCAGCGTGATCAAGACCAACCAAGCATTCGTCAATCCCTGTTGTGATATCTGTTATGACTTGGATGGTATCTGTTGGCGACGCTCAAACAGAGCGTGTGTCGTCAACGGTCAAGGACGTCCTTGGGCTAGCCCAAGGTTAGGGGTCTTACTTGGCGAGGCTTCGGCAAGTAAGATTTGATGCCTATGTCCAAATCGGGTAGCTTATGTCAAGCAGGTGCGAGATGATAAGCTAAATCGGCCAAGGCTTATGACACCCGAAGGTTAATTGTAAGGATCGTCGTTAATTAGAAGGACAGAAGTCCGACTAGTTAACAGGGGCTTTGCTTGTCGACGAAGTCGATGAGCAAAGATCGAGACTATAGGCTTATCCGCGATGAGCAGATAAGAAGATAGAATATAGACTGCTGGCTAGGCAGAAAGGATCACTCTGGTGAGAGTAGGAGGTCAAGAACCAAGTAGATTCAAGTTAGGGAATATAGTACATGGTAGTGAGTTTATATAGAGGACAGGGGACATATTAGTGGGTGATAACTCGTACTACCAAGAGAGGCAATCGGTAAAGGGTATAACCATAACAGGAAAGCACGTTCGGTCGAGGTAGAACGTGCTGGATAAGAAAGTGAGTCAAAGATCGAAATAAGAAGTGAAACGCGCAGTGGCACGATCGTGCAGCTGCGGAACTAAGTATAGGTTGCATGTGCGACTGCGCATCGAGTCAGAGATCAAGAAAAGAAATAGGGCGAAGGGGATGCATCGTGCATCATATCATAGGTTACCGTCCGGACGGTAAGGGCAGAGGGGACTGTCCGCAGGATCAGTCAGGTGGTGGAACAGAGCATGAGTATGCTTCGTCAGCGAAAGGATCCGGCCAGATGTACTGGCTTTGCTGAAGCAACAGGTAGAGAGCAAAAGGGAATGCGAGAATGACAAGGATGACCAGGGTAAGGTCGGGGTAAGGGTATGATGCAAGGGCTGATACGAGGAGGATCAGGAGAAAAATGGTAGGGGCCCAAGCGTCTAGATGTTCTTGTAACAATATCCAGCTCATCATCACATGAAAGAATATCTAGTTGACGACAGTGTTCAGTATCTGGCAAATGTCTACTAATCAGCATTTACAGTGTCAGGATCGGAGACAACAAACCGAGGCCAAGTCCTCCACCCACACCACCCATGTAATAGGCACCATTGGGCTCCTCACAAGAAGGTAAGTCTTAATAGTCATCTAAAAGCAGATAAAAATCTTCATCTTTGTCACCCTGTAGCTGAATTTCGCCTGGTAACTCATCAGCCAGCTGGAGGGCACCAAGCAAAAGCCTGTATGTGTCCCAGACTGATTGTCGTGTGATCACAGGGTGACCGAGATTATCGTAGCAATGCTGAATGCATTTGCCAAAAGCCTCTGGGACCAGGTCAAACACGCAATGAGAGGGCTTGATGTAGATACTTTGGACAAGATCTAGAGACTTGGTTCAATTTTAATCTATGATAGTACAAAGATCAGAGTACTATTGACAATGTCCAAGTCGATGTAGCACATACCTTGAAATCCAATGCCCCAAAGTCTTCGGCTGAATGGTAGATAAGATTGGGTACTCCATGAGGAAGAATCTGGATGGTGCTGTAAAGAGTAGATCTGGGCTGGGCTCTACAGAATGTGAGTCCCTAGTCCTGAGAGATGCGAGTATGCTTCGTCCCAAGAGACAACCTAAAGAACTACCTTGATAATGCAAGAGAAGTCTTATACAGTCAGAGAGTAGACAAGATATTGGAAGTAAATTTTTCTAATGTTCGTCCAAAGCTGTTAAGACCATGCACAAAGGGTAGGACTGATTCTGAGGGGCTTGGCTTCAGCTCGTGTGCTGCGCCCCTTACCCAAGTATGTGCCCTTAATTCCAGATTGATGTCTGGAGAAGATCCTAGGAAGTCTGAAGGATATCTGAAGGCACAGGAAACTTCGGAAGGGCTTTCCGGACGAGTGCAAGTAACTTCCGGACGAGTGCGAGAAAGTTCTGGACGAGTGCGGGAAAGTTCTGGAGGAACTTCCAGAAAGTACAATGAGGTTTCATCCTGATATGGATAGGTGTAATGGCTACTCAGGACTTTCCTGAGTAGAAGCAAACAGAGGTAAGGCTGCAAGGACAATGTCCGAAGCAGAATAGGTCTGGAGGACCATGGGAAAGATCCGGACGAACTTCCAGAAACTTGGAGGAATATAGGATCAGAGGAGTGGAGCTCTGGCCTAGGGAATTCCTCCCTAGGCCTAAGGAAGATTTCACAAGGAAGGAACTAGTATAAGGACTTAGTGTGAAGACTAGTGCGAGGACTAATATGATATTCAGACTGAGGGACTACAAGACATATACAAGAGTTTATATACTAAGTGACTATCGGAAAGATCAATAAGCAAGGTCCGAGGCTATGTACGAAGCATAAGCAAAGTTAACAAATGCGAGTTGGAAATGAAGCATAGGTTAATGGATCAGTAAGCATACCGGTAGTAAGTATAACTGAGGTACCGGGAACAAGGAATACCGGATAGGCTGTGTTAACGTTATATGCACAGGAAATGGATTAAGAAGCTTATCAATATTGGATCGGACCGGATATGGTCTGGACGAGATGCATGGATATGTGGGATAGGACAAAGGATGAATGATGCAGGCTAGCTGTGAAGGTAAAGGGATCTGGATGCATAGAGGACTGCAGACATGGATAGGACATCCAAAGGTCCGGATAAGGCGTGGGAATATTATCGGATGTAGGTCCGGAATATGGGATATGACAGTCCAAAGCTCCAAGACTACGTCTGAAGTACCGAGATACTTGTCCAATGCAACCGAAGGTCGTCTGAAGCTGCAAAAGTGTTGTCCGAAGTAGCACGATGCCTTCCGAGGCTTGTGAGAACTGTCTGAAGGTCAATATATGTCGGTGTGTTGAGGTGTTGGTATGTCAATGTGTCGAATAATATAAGACTTTGCGAGGGGTCTGAAGTCCGGAATGATGCTAATCTATCGGAACTCAAGAATAAACGAGGTGCAGAATTGGCAGCAGTCTAGCCAAACAATTGTTCCGAATGAACAAAGATCAATTGCACAGTTACAAATATACTGAGGTGACTCTACTAATTACGACTCAAAGTACAGGAAGTGAAGTGAAGTGTCAGTAGCCAGCGAGCGAGATTATATCCTACTTCTGTGAGAGACCGGAATCCAGTGAGATAAGCAAGTCCGAACCTATGTAATAAGCTGCGAGGCAAGCAGCAATGCAAGTATACATGTAATAAGCTGTGATATGTACTGTTTATACGTATTCTGAGGCTCCCGACAGGATGCTGATGGGATTTATCCATGTAGCACTAAGACATAATCAACATATAGATAGAATAAAGGAGAACACACCAGCAAAGTCAAAAGGACAAGGATAGGACATGGTATGGTAACTCATGAGGTTCGGACGGGCCTCGGAATGCAAGAACTGCCTGCAGAAGGTTTGGACAAGTGTGCGGGGCCTTCGAAAGGTCAAGGGAGGTCGAGGAATGGTATGGGATGTAAGTGTTAGATTGACTGGTTCCAAGCCCAGCGCCGCAACCATCGTTACAGCACATCAATGTAAAACCATCCTTGTGGGAGCAAAACTATGGGCATGTACTTTGTTATGGTTGCACCGCTTGGCAGTATTGTTAATACGATCCTGATATGCATCCAGCTCCTGCTGAAGCCATGGTATGAAAACCCAATGGAAAACCATCCTGCAAATGAACATTACAACTAACACTCGAACAGCAGAAAAATGATGCACACTTGAAGGGTATTATTTGAATCATACCAACCAGAATTGACACCATGATCTAGGAGATTCTCGAATCCAGGTGTGAACCACCGGCGCAGTTGAGACCATGCAATCTCCAGCATGATGTCCTTCTTGGCTCACATCCAATGATGCTGGAGTGTACCCTGCAAAGCTTGGTTGTGCCACTGCTGCAGCATGGTATGGGCATTTGCAGTCCCATAATTTTCGGACCCCGGGTCACTTTGAGTGACCATTGGCATATCTAAAATTTAAGTCGAACTAGGTTTGTGCTTTAAAACATGAAACACTTATGACCGAGAGCCTCAATTGTGTTAAGGTAGTAACTCAGAATGAGCTGTGGATTTTGGATGGAATGTCAGAACTGAATCCACATTATGCAACCAGAGAAAGGTTCAATACCGGTATGCAGCCCAAGACCAAATCTGAGCCACTTATCATGTCAATCGACTGCAAATAAATTGTTCATGCCTGCTGCCAAGAAGCATCTCCTTTGAAGGCGACAAGCCTTACACTGACAAACGAGGGTTCATACAAAGCGAAGTACTCTGTCACAACCCTCCTAGGATGCAAAACTTGTAGGTTAGCAATCAGTCCTTACAATGCATAGATGAACATATCACCTGGCAACACTCATTTCCTGTTCATGATATAGTAAGCTCACCATTTCATGTGCACCAGCATTTGGATATGTAGCTCATAAGTCAAGCATTGCATCACAAATGGTTTTGACTGTGTGACCCTGTTGACGGGTATGTTGAAGACCCATCATCTTTTGAATTTTCAAAAGCATGGTAAGCCTAGTGTATAATCATTTAACACCTAAATAACTAGATTTAAACACTGCTCACCCAATACCATAGCGAGTCGTGTCAATGTGTTTTTGTAATTCCTGGACAATTTGCCAATCAGTCTGGCGGGCCTTCCAGAGGCAAAGGATATGAGGTGCAATCTTGTCCAATGGAGCTGCTTAGAGCTCAGATGTGTACTAGCAGGAGTGACTTGAAAGGTACGTACATGTGGGTTTGTTCTGGTTGGGCATTGCAACACACTCACTGACAGCTGCCAGTGAGGTTTGTAGTGTCACACTTTATATCTTGCTTTTAATTGGACTTACCTAGTTCAGTGGTCCCTGAGAAGTTCATGCTGCGGCAACATGGGAATTCATGGAATTCATGCCTGGACTTGCGCCACTCATGCCCTGCTCATCCCACTAATGGCCTGCTTGTGCCTCACATCTTCCTAAGTTAAGTTCAGTAACTACCTACCAAGTGTTCCGGACTTCACTTTCTTGTCCACGGTCCAAGTGTTCTTAGTGAGTTAAGGTTCGCAACTACCCTCTAATTGAACTAAGAGAATCCTTGTCCACAGTCCAAGACATTCACGGGCTGGATATGCTGGACTTCATCCTTAGTGAGTTAAGTTTTGCAACTACCTCTAATTGAACTAAGAGAATCCTTGTCTGCAGTCCAAGACACTCACGGGCTGAATATGCTGGACTTCATCCTTAGTGAGTTAAGTTTTGCGACTACCTCTAATTGAACTAAGAGAATCCTTTTCCACAGTTTAAGACATTCTCGGGCTGGATATGCTGGACTTGTATGGGCTGGACATTCTGATTCTCAGTAAGTTAGGGTTTGCAACTACCACTTATTGAATTCAGAAATGTTGTGTGCAGTCCAAAGCATTCTTGGTTCAGATTGCCCCATAGTGTCTCTGGAGGTGCCGGTTCCTCATGATTCTCCATCTAACTCTTTCAAACTGCTCCTTAGTGTCTCTGGAGGTGCCGGTTCCTCATGATTCTCTATCACTACTGTTTTCCAGTCCATGCTTATTCGGATGCAGATGTGCTCATCATGATATGTGAGATGGTGAAGATACAGACTTTCCTCAAGTGCTCATCGCCACCCAATGTGCCGGACCAGAAATCTCCGGTGAAGATGAGGAATTTAAACTGTGGGGAAAGTTGGTGCTAAGCTAAGCAAACACAGATAGACCTGGGCGCAAGTGAAATCGTCATCCCAAGGGCAGCTAACTGAGTAAAGGGAAACCTCTCTTTGTAAAAAGAGGGACACCAAACAACTAATAAAGTACTAAGGCTAAGTAATGTGCGAAGCATGAGGTGGAAATGATGCAATGTGTGAAAGGCGAATGCGCGAGTGCGATAGGTGATGGACGAGGTGCGCAACGCAAAGGTAGTGCACGCAAGCAAAGGCGAGAGACTAGCGAGAGAGAGAGTAACAGAGGAAAGATGAAGTGAGACGAGTGTTAACACCCCAACTAAGGTTGGCTGATGCTAAGACGGAGACCGAGAACCAAAGCATGTGACTTTAGATAGTCACTTGCAAACAACAAGTAAAATTCTTAGTATCTAGAGACACAGAGAAAGTGGGCGGAAAATCGACCCAGAAAATAGAGTAAAGAGATAGTATATGTAAAGATGGCTAAGCGCCACTAGGCGTGCAGGTCTGATGTAGTGAGCCAAGTAAGCTAAATATAGTATGTGAGGTAGGTAATAGGGTCTCGGCTGCACGCGTAGCGGTAGGCCGAGGATTAGCGATGGAAATAATTGTCGAAATGGGAATATAGTGAGAAAATGCACCAATGAACATCTAAGGACATGGGGAGGACAGATGGATGGGTATACGGACGATGCTTAGGAGGGCGCGTGATGTGTGCATAGTGCGAGTGGCTGTGCACGGAATCTGCAAAGTAAAATATATGAAGTGCTACTGCGCAAGACATATCCTTGGGATTAGAGCTGGAGTGTGTAGGGAATGTGGGAGAATTTGAGGGAAGTGCCTGTGGAGATGTGAGGCTCTACAACAGTGGGAGACTTTAAAATCTGACTGTCCCCAGTCAGTGTGTGTGCAATTGGACTTAGAGAAATTGTGACAAGAGGTGTCATGTGATTGCGGTCCGTATTCAGAAAACAAAGTGCTGGCGGTCGGCCTCATGACCTTGCTTGGGAATTAGTGCGGATGCTGACATAATTGTGGTTAGCGCATTTAAAAGAGCGCTATGTGGCAACGCGTTGTTCTTCTCATCTTTCACCTTAACCATGATATTCTTTCTTTTAAAATGTCCAACTTCGACTTGTCTTTGCTTGACCCGCCTTGCTCGCCTTCGCCTGAGGCTGAGGCACCTGTCGAGGCTGCGCTGGTTGTCAAGGAGCCGGCTCAGGAAATTCCTGAGGCTGCACCTGTTGTTGAGTCCACTGGCGACCGTGTCCTCCACATTTGGAACACGCTCCTTCCATCAGTGGGTGTGTTGTTGGGCTCACATCCAAAGCTCCTCCAAGAGCATCTGGAGGATATTGAGTCGTGGCTCCACGAGTGGGTGCACTTTGAGGTGAGTGGCACACGTCTTTTCATGTCTTATTCTTATTTACTGATTGACCATACTCATCTTTATAGGCTAATGTGCACATCTGCATGCGCGATGCGCTGGAAGCCGAGGTGCTCCTTCCGATCGGTGATGAGGAGAAGGAGATACTGCAGGATTTTAATGAGTGGGTCGGAGTGGCGAGGAAAACAGTGAGCGGGTGGAAGGAGGTGGCAGAGAAGATCATGGCAGAGGCGTGTGTGGCTCATGCAGCAAAGGAGAAGGGGAAGGGAAAGGAGAGAAAGGAGAACCCAGACATGGGCAAACTTGTAAGTGCCTTTTCATTATTTTTCTTGCATTTGGCTAACTTCCAATCCGCATTGACAGAAGGCTGGCACATGTATGTCGACTGCACTGAAGACTCTTGACCTTCCCTGCGAGAACTGCATGCAGCGCGGGGTCAAGTGTCTGCAGGGCAAGAATGCGCGCTGCGGGCCTTGTGAACACTCACACTGAGCGTGCAACTTCAGTGAGTGGTCTCATTATTTTAGTTTTTGAATACTCTAACATTTGTGATAGCTACCAAGTGCAAGGCCTCCGAAACTGCGGTGGCGCCATGCAAAGTGCCTTGCGTGGCTAAAGAGCACATTCCAATGGTCAAGCCAACCACAGCCGATGATGCCAATGACTCTGGCGAGTCTGAGGTGGAGGTCCAGGAAGTGCCGAAGAAGGTGCACCCTGTGCCCAGGCTGGTGAAGCCTTTGCCCATGTGCACTGCTGCAGGGCCTTCAAGGGTTCGCGCTGATGATTTGGACAATGAGCGCCTTCGTGCCGACAACAAACATCTGCGGGAGGAGGTCGAGAAGTTGCGTGGTTTGCAGGATGACTACGACTGATTTGTGCGCAACCTGAACTATCAGGCACGCAAGCAGCAACAAGAGCTCATCGCAATGAGCAACCAGCTTTACTTGTTTTCGGATGAATGGAGGATGATGGGGCAAGAGATGGATGACTTCATTGTGGGGCAGGAGCGGGCGTAGAAGTAGATAGTCGCTACTATACCCTTTTCTTTTTCTTCTCTGCACATTGCCTTCATGCCTGTACTATACTCTGTGTTGCCTTGCACACTTGCACACTGTACTATACTGTTTCTTTCTGTGCTGTACAAATATAGTTGTTTCACATTGTGCCAACTATGAGTTCCTATGATCTTTGCATAAGTCCTAGTCCAGGTCCATGTCCGTGTCCAAAGAGTCATTGGGCCTGGATATAAACGAAATAGAACTATGAGCGAGCATGATATGATTAGAATAAAAAGGGAAAATAATTAGCAATATACGTGTGATCGCATGAGCTTCACACTCGACTTGTCTTCTTTGTGTGACTGTCTGCATCTATTCCTGCTGTGAGTGATTATAGTGATCGGGTATAGTCTACGTAAAATGTGCGTGGTGCGGCTTCGCGCATTCAAAATAGAAGGTCTATGTGAATGGTTATGCACGCATGAATCAATTAGGAGAACTTATCTGTATATACTGTTTTGGGTATTACGCGCGATATAATAGAGTCTGTGTTTGTGTTATGTTCAGCGAATGTGCGGGTTATATGCAAGATGCGAGAGAGAAACTGAGGTCGCCGGACAAAACCTGGGGTAAAACTGAGAGTAAATACTTTTAGCAAGACTGTGTTTTTGTGTTTTCTTTATTTTTGCGATGTTTTTGTTATTTGTGATTGTGGGATGATATGTATGAGGGTGGTGGTCAAGAATTGGGGAATGTGGGGGTGTGAATATGAGAGAGCGCGATGAGCAAGCCTCTGCATGCTATTTGTCTTGCGCATGCCCGGGTTTGTCTTCATTGGGTTCTATAGTTTCGTTAGCCTCTAAATGGTCTATACTTTTGTCGTCTATTCTGATCATTTTTGTGACGAATACATGATCTTCATGACATGGATAATATGGTATCACGCAAAACGCGGCAAAGCGAAGCTTTGATATTGCGCTGTCTAGCTCGGCAAGCATATACAAACCTCCTTTTGTGCGCCACACGACCATCATTGGTCTGAGATAGCATGGCTTTGTCTCTTTGCTAAGTTTGTACTTGACTTTCGAGTTGCGGACTAGAACTAGCGTGCCGGGTTCAAAGTCATATGACTTGATAGATGCGCAAAAGTGTTTCTCAAAATTGCGAACAGACTTAAATCACACTTTGAATACCTGATCTTTGATCACGTTAAGATCGGCTTCGCGTTTCTGTAATTGGTGTGCCCACCATGCTATAAGGTCAGCAGTAGTAAATGTGCCTCAGCTTGGCAAAGGAGCGAGAAAGGTAGCTTCAGCTAAATTGAACGGAAAGATAGGCTCAACGCCATGAACCATAAAATAGGGTGATAGGCCCATCGCGTGATGAATAGTCATGCACTCAGCTCAGAAGACAGAATGAACAACTTGATACCATCGCGAGTCATCACCGTCACAACTTTTGATGATGGCCTCCTGGACATCTCGGTGTCATCTTTCGACTATACTGTTTGCCTGCGAATTGTACGGCGAAATGCGAATTGGGTGAATCCCGTACTTTTGCACAAGTTCATCTACCACAAGTCTATATGTGGGGCTGTTATCGGTCACAATCTCGGTGATCGGACCCCATCTGCAAAGGAGTTCTTCGAAAATGAAGGCGGTCAGCATTTTGGTATTTTCTTTGTGCAACATGCACCATTTGGGGTACGACATTAGCATGCAGTGTGCTTGCACGAGATATTTGAATCCACCCACTCTGGGCATCTTCATTGTGTCAATGCGTGCTTTGCAAAACAAACCTCCTGGTATTGGAACCGTTGGCAGGATATGCAACTTTCGCATCTGGCAAACCTGACAATTGTGGCACGTTCATGTGTACCACTTAATGTCTTTGATGATGTGCAGCCACCAAAAGTGTAGTAGCAACCGCATGTGCGTGGTGTAGACGCCTTTATGGCCGAGGTCATCATGCACTTCCTTAAGAAGGCAATATCGCTTGCGTGGTGGCACTACTAGCTGGTGCTTTCTGTAGGGTTCTCTTTGCCAGAGATTGCCCTTGAGAATGAAGAAACACGCGGTGTAGTTGAAGAACGCTGTGAATTCGTGATCTGAAAGGTCAGCGGGTCATTCGCGTGAAATAAGGAACTCTTTGGTTAAGACAAGTGATGCGTCTAACGCTTGCGCAGCCTCTGAGCAAGGGATGATAGTTCTGGTTCTTCTTCTTGCACGAAATCTAGGAAGACACGGTGTACTGGTGCGCACGAGTCAAAGGACGTGTGCACATTTTGATGGGCATGGTGGACAAGTTCCGCGCAACTGCTTGCGACGTGTTGCATTCTATTGTTTAGTATCGCGACTCTGAATGAGTATGCGCAATTGATCCAATCTTCATGGTCATTGTCCTCCTCAAGAGGATCCTCATCGGCGAGCAGCCTCCTTTCCTTGAGAGACCATCGACACCTTTGTGCTTGGTCGTGGAAACAACGAGTTTGAATGAAAATAATAAAATGCCTGTGATCCATCAATTGATGGTTGTGTTAGGCTGCAAGTCCAGATTATTGATCATACCTTTGATGTACTTTGCATCTACTTCGACGGTGAAATTCTTGATTCCAAAAATGAATACATGAACTGTGCGGAGCGTGCAAAAGAGTCTGTAGAGCTCTAGCTTTGCTTGCGAGTATCGGCTTTCCACCTCGTTCAGCACTATGCTGCCAAAACAATTAGGATATCGCTTGCCATCTGCGCCTACTTGCAACAGAATGAACCTGATCATGATGTTGGACGTGTCAACGGCGAGGATGACTTCATGCTCACTCTCGTAATTGAGGCAGCAAAGAGCGGGAAACTCTAATACTGAGTCCTTGAGTGTCTGATACAATTCGTGCTCTTCAGGTCCGAAGACGAACAGGACATCTTTCCTGGTGAGATTAGTTAGCGGGTGCACTTTGTGCACAAAATCACGGATGAAAATGCGTAAAACGCTGCAAGTTCCCAAGAAACTGCGGACTTGCGACTGGTTGGTAGGCTCTGGCCAATCTCATATCTTCTGAACTTTAGTGTCTTCAGGTACGCGACCCTCGAAAGTACACTTATGCCCGACGATGACTGCGCTTGGCACAGCAAGAACAAATTCCATCGCACTGACTGTAACACTGACATTTTCGAGCCACTGTAAGATGCGATGCATGACTATTAGGTGCTCCCAGATGAAGCAATGCATGCCGGGGTTTTCAGGTATGGTTTCATAAGTACTGTCCGCAAATTCATATCACGTCTCAATGGACTTGACTGCGATATGATCTATGAATGGAAGTGTGTGCTTTGGAATCTCATCCTGTAGAAAAAAGGCTATGTCGCCTTGGAAAATCTGCGCTGTGTTAGTATGACCTTGCAGTAAGGTGGTCAGCCTATGTGGGCCTAAAGGTGTGCCAAATGTAGTAAGGTCACACGACTCTTCGTGAAGCATGCACTGGTCATATCCAGAGTACAAATCCATCATGCCATATATTGCGTAACCCGTGAAGGATTCAGCAAGATGTTCAATGAAGGGGGGTACTGATGCATCGCAAATTGTCACCACATTGAGCAGCTGCAAGTCGTGGACTAGGCGAAGCAATTTGCCATCTTTCTTGACTACGCAAAACCAGCATGAGCAATATTTGGCCATTGAAGGCTCATATACGCCTGACACAATTTTCTCTTTAATGATGCGTGTGACTTTGTCTATTGTCAATGGTGGAACTGGAATATTGTGCTGCAACCATGGCGCATGTGGGACCATTGGAATCTTGTATGGTGGGAAGTACCTTTCATCAAGGCAGCCGTGCTTGGATGCTTCCCAAGCAAATGCGAGTTTGTGCGTACGGACCAGCCAGCGTACTAGCTTAGCTTCCTCTGGCCATAGCCAGTTCGTGGGATCAAAATTCAACTTATCCATGTGCACTTGCATGAGGCGGATACCTGGAACAAAATCTGGGGGGTGAGTAGGTAACGGGATTAGTCCTACTAGAGGATCGGGCGGTAGTTCACAAACAATGTGATACTCAGGTGGGGTAGCCGCGAGTATGCCGCGAACTTTCTTCGCAACTGGTTTGTATACCAGTGCATGGATAATGGGATCATATTCATAACATGCGTTGAACGCAGCTATGTTCGCGACATGAAATGCCATGCTGGAAGAGGTTAGATGTGCATATAGCATGGACTGCAGAAGAGAGAAATGAGAGTGCAAAAAAGAGACGGGAATGAGAGATGATGACAAAATTAACAAATGTGATGTAGCGATATTGCTCCTTGAGAGCGAATGAGAGTGGTTATTGTCACACGACGTGAGCAAAGAAACATTAGCAATATATGAAGAAGGAAATGAGTGTGATGGATGAAGCGAGGAGCATGAACACTCTATAGTGTTTCCCCATGTATGCTGCAGATCATTGATACTTAAAAATCCTGACCCTCAACCTTGGCAACGTTGACATGCGAGTGCGTATGTGTAGCTTCGCTGCAGGGCGCGCTGTGTACCGCGACTTGGCAGTTTCTGACCCAAGGGAGGGTCGGGATGTGCATTTCTTTATGCGTATTCAGATCCGTTAATAAAATGTCCTGCGCTCCGCTAGGGAGGTCAAACGTGCGACAAGAAGTAAGAGTGAAAAACGGGCATCTGAGCAGAACCTCAAAGTTTGCGTGCTCCATTACCTGAACTTGGAAGTACATGGGACCTCCTCCGAAATTGAGCAGAATATTTTTGATGACACCGAGCGTCAAATCATGCGAAGTGTTTACTGACTCCATGCGCATGTGGTGATCTGAGCACAGACCAACTCCGAGAGATTGCCAAACTTCCCTTGGCATTATGACGAACTTCCGTGCCCTGATCAAGGACACAGGTAAGTGTCCAGCCACCTACAGTAGTTGTACGAATACACCTCAGCGGCACAAAGTGATCCGCAACGATGCGTCCATTGTTGCTATGCAAACGCACATCTTCATATTCACGCATCCAATGATGTGAAGTGG